AAATCCGGCTGATTGATGTAGCCTTCCCCTGGTCTACACCAAACTTAGAGTGCATCAGCAAGAAAATGTACATTGGTCCATTACGTGTGCCTTGTGCCTCCTACCATTACAGCCAAGTCCACCTCCACCACCAACAAGCTCGTCCATATGGTGAATGGGTATAGTTGATGAGAGATGGGGTGTTTGCTGTTGGTATCCGCGTTCCCTGTTTCATACATAACCTGCCGGCTTCCGTCTGACTATTGTTAGCCAACATCCCGCATCTCATCCAAGTTTTCGTTTCCTCCTTCACCGCCCAGAACCCCTTGAAGTCCCCTTATATTCACCAGTGTCCCTCCAACACGAGGTCACTTGCTATTCCTACCCCGTGTAACTAATACTCGATAACGGTGGCATCTGCCCTGTCCTGTACCTGCCCCGGTCTTGACATCATCTTCAACCAACAGCAACAACAACGACCTACAATACCCTGCAATAATATATCAGGCGATCTTCTTCTACCCCATTGAAACGCCACAGCGCCTCTTCCAGTATCGAACCTGCTACCTCTGAGCTTGTCCTCTGGTATCTCGCCACCGACAACGTTCACACCGACATCTTTTCGCCGCATTCGAACAAGACATTGTCAACCAGTCCGATTGCAGCTGAATAGGAACGTCACAGATCGAGGCCAGAACCGACTTCGGTCGCAAGAGGGACTTTGCCTTCACGTATCATCTCACTTCAAGAAGGGAGCTGTGCTCCATCTTCCTCTGCTTTGGCGATTATTCACCTGATACCACGCACCTTCTCCACCTTCCTGCTCAGACCCTGAGCACGCTCTCTCCCTCTTTCACCACTCATTAGCACCACACATCAACTACATTCAACACGACTCACAATGGGTGGAAGAGTATTCGTCGATTGGCAGTTGTGGCAGCAGATGACTTTGGTAAGTCTCAAGCATTTGAAACGATACTTCGAAAAAAGCCAGACTAACGCCTGCCTTACAGATCCTGGCTTGTGCCATCGGTATCGTCTTCGTCATCGGCTTCATAAAGCTATGGTTGTCCAACCGATACATGGCGAAGCTCGAAATCATCGACGCGGAAAAGAGAGCACATGCCTCGGAAATGGCGTCGACCGGCCTTCCGCCCCCGCGAAAGGAATCCGATATTCCCTTTGGCGTCCGCGCCATCCAATCCGGCGTCGAAGTCGACGGCATCTGGATCTCCCGTCCTGGCACACCGGCCACCGACTCCCCTCCCAACTCAGCCAAGGGCAAGGGCAAGTACGTCTCCCAAGGTCCCATCTCGCCCGCCTCGACAAACTCCGATCCCTTTGGCTCTCCGCCATCGTCTCGCGGCGGTGCCATCGGCCCGCAGACCTATCGCCCCAAGTCTTCTCACAACGCCGTCGCGAGCAGGGCCGACGCGCTGAGCCAACTCGAGGGTAACCCACAAAACGCACCCGCCTACAATACATACCAGCCCCGCGGCGGCGTCGCCCACTCCGAGTCCTCGGACGAGGCCAACAGCCCCGTCAGCCCCGTCGACCGAGGCAACGCCGGAATCAGCAGCGAGACGTACAACGGCATCGACGTCAGGGTCCCCATCCGCGCCTCGCCCGCCCACCGCCAGCTGAGCAAGGTCCGCAACGTCAGCGGAGGCCCTGCTCAGCCGCCGACGACGGGTGGTGGTGTTCGGTCTTTCAGCGGTAGTCTCCAGCTGCCCAAGAACGGCAAGGCAACATACTCTACCGTGCCCCAGATCTCGCCCGGCGGCGAGTTTACCGACCCCTTTGCTACGCCCGTCACCACGCCTGGCGCTGATCACGCGCTGCTTCCTTCCCAGCAGCAACAGCAGGGACCTCACGTCAAATTTGCGAATGTCGAGTACATTACCAGTCAGCGCTATGCCAGTGATGGTAGCAGTGGGAGCAGCGGTAGCAGTAGCAGCAACAACCAGAACTAGGTGACCTGGACTCGGTAGTGACAGGGGGGTGTCGAACGATGACGTACATCAGCATTGGATGGTAAAGCGAGTTTTTCTTGGCTTCTTTTTGCGATTTTCACACATTTGGGGATGAGTAACAATCAATGTATGAATAACAAGGCAATCTGTCGAAAATAGGACAGCAAGGTGGGACAGACGGATGGATTGGATTCCCGTGGCCATTGGAAAGATGGCATACGAAGAACGGCGTTAAGGCATGTAAAAAACAAACTGGGAACAGATCAGACGGTGGGACACTGCGAGTCCCTCGTTGACCCCTCTCCAGTATGAGAGAGAAGGAGACACTATCTTTAAAGACACATCCATCCATAGAGAACAAATCAATCACAACAAAAACAATTCACAATAAACCTCGACCGAAATGTGAGATGAAGGAATGTGCATCGAAGTTGGCAACGGCAAAGGACAGGAACAAGGCATTCTTATAAAGCCACCCACCTCATTTGCTTTGAGCTCCGGACATCGGCGTGGCTCCGCGCATTTCGGCACCGGCGCCGGCTACGTGACGCGAAAACCCCGCCCATTCGACCTCCTCCCCCCACATAATTGACATGGCGTGCGTGATGAATGGAGAGGCATAACCAGCCAAAGGAATAAACGCAATAATTTTCCCTCTTCCACGGACTGTATGCCGTAATTGTCTCCTCCTCGTGACCAAGATCACTGGGAAAAGATCGCGCCCCTGCATTCCCCTGCATTCTCATTTAGACCACCCCTGGAAAACCCGGCTCTCTTATCGACGAAACAGGCCCTCAGACTTGACCACGCAGCACACGGTTTGAGCTGATTTCTACGTCGTAATATAACTCATCTTCACTTGACGTGTACTGGGAACAGAAAAGACGAAAAACTTTTCCCACCCTGGCCGAAACTCAAAAGGCAAACAAGCCATTCAGCGAAAAGACAAAAAAAAAAGACCAAGGCGGGCAAATAGAGTGGGGGAACAAAAAGCAATGTCTCTCACAAACCTCCACCAAGCCGCATCAAAGGGCTTCGCAGACGCAGCAACCTACGATGCCTACCGCCCCTCCTACCCGGCCGAGGCGACACAAAAGTTCCTCGCGCACCTGCGTCTCGCTGACGTGCCCCACGCCAAAATTTTGGACCTGGCGGCCGGCACGGGCAAGATGACCGAGGTGCTGGCGGCGCGGCACGAGGGGTTCGAGGTCGTGGCCGTGGAGCCGCACGAGGGGATGCGGGCGGAGCTCGAGAGGAAAGGGTTGAGGGGCGTCGAAGTCCGGGACGGGTTCGCGGCGAAGTTGCCTTTGGGGGAGGAGTGGGGTGACGGGGCTGTTGTTGCGCAGGTGAGTGTCTGTCTGTTTGGCGCGTTTTTCTGTTCATGTGGCTGTTTATTCATATGGTGTCGGGGGATGGGTTTGAGATGTGGTTATTGAGAAGAAGATGGCTGACTTGCGTTTCATGCAGGCGTTTCACTGGTAAGTTGGTCCATCCTACAGAAATTAAAATGTGAACAGCAGCTCAAAAAGCGTAGGTTCGCGACGGTAGAGTCTCTCAAGGAGATTCACCGCGTCCTGAAGCCGACGGCCGTGCTCGGTTTGATCTGGAACATTGAGGATTGTGAGTTTTCCATTCATTTCCTGAGACGGGCCGTTTACGTGTTCCAAGCCCCAGATATATTCTAACGCGGGAAACCCACACATCAAGACAACAAGCCAAAGCACTGGAAAGCGAGCACGCAATGGGAACAGTCCCTCAATGAGCTCGTCTTCACCCTGGGCGGCGACGGGCAGCCGCGCTTCCGCGACTTTGTCTGGAAGGACATCTTCGACAGCCAGCTCGATGCCAACCCGCTGCGCGCCGTCAAAGATGTGGTCCTCGAGGGCGGGCGCAAGATGCCACTCTTCAGTGTGCCCGTGGGCGAGGAAAAGGTGCCCTTCACCGTCTGGCTGACGCCCGAGGCGGTGTGGAACCGCATACGGACACTGAGCCAGGTGGCGGTGCTCGAGGGGCCGAGGGCGGCAGCATTCAAGGCCGAGTTTGACGCGATCCTGGCCGGGGAGAGCGTGCAGAGGAACGAAAAGGGAGAGGTTGCGCTGCATGGGGTGACGTATTTTGCGTGGACTTCGAGGTTGTAGATTGGTGAGGTTTTGCGTTGTTCATGAGACTTGTTTGCTTTTCTGATTAGACGAGGAGGTTGCCAAACAGCTTTCGGTCATTTGATAGAATGGAGGTATATTTTTTCTTGGGTAGATCTGATTCAGGACGCCTTCGATTACTCGAAACCCATTCATAGACATCTTTGTCCTGGAATGGAGTCCAGTTACTGATCCATTGTTGAGATATTTATCCGCACTGCTCAAGAGTCTGCTGAGATGTACATGACTACGGGACATCTGTCAGTCAAAGTGAATTGGGATTGAGCGATATGGTAAACTCTACCGTTGTTTCCTCTCACGAATGCGTCGCCGTATGACCGCCTCTTGGCGCCGTTGACGTACTCCTCCGTCTTCTCAAGCGCGATATTCATGTAACCATCGACGGACTGAAGCTCACCTGGAACGAAGGCATGCTGTCAGAAAGGTCTCACTATAAGAAGTGCATCGCCTCACTTCATCTCATTCTCGGACGTGATGGCTGAGGCACTCACCCTTGTAGACAACGCCCGAGTTGAGCTTCACCGTGACGAGGTTGCCGATGATGTCGCTGAGGAAGCTGGAGGGGTCCTTGCCCTCGCCCTGGCTAATGTTTCCGTTCTCCATTGTCGTTGTCTGGATCTTTGAGACGGAGTTGAGTTACTGAGGGTGCCTCGGGATGCTGGTTGTTCCGTGGCGGGTTGACGTGAGAGTTGTGATTTAGGCTTGCGGGATGTCAAACCGGTGATGCTGTTGGCAGAATTGCTGACAACTGGCGGCAATGGTCCTGGCGGCTGGCGTCTGGGTGGGGACCAAGGTACAAATCGCCCCGTCGAATTCGTACCTCCTGGTTGGAATGCTGTTAGAGCATCGATCGCCTGGGGAGCCCTGGGTGGTGCCTGGTATTGGCTTTTCCAAGGGTAGCTCGCACTGTAGGGCTACCCGAGCAGCGCACACCCCACGCTGAGTAGCGTGCAGGGCGAACCCATTCCCCTTGTTAGATGGGCCCGCAAAATCAATCTTCGCTCTCACCACGGAAACAACGGCCGCCCCCGAATCCCAACCCAAATATTTGGTGGTGCGCGAGCCAGGACGCCTTCCCCCTCTCTCCTCCTTCTGTCGCATTGATCGTGATGTTTCTACCTGCTGCCTTCTCTTCTGGGCCCAGCCTCTGGCGCCTTCCCTACATGACCTGACTTTTCCCCCATTGTCATGTGAAATCACTTATACACGCACCCGCCGCACAGAGTTACTCCCGAAATTTCCTCATCTAAACTACTTCGCCGTCGCAACCTGCACCGCATCGCGAAACGAAACCCGAGTTGATTCTTGCTCCGTTGCTCCGTGTACTTGGAAGCACGTCATCCCCCGTTTGTGAGCTATGGCAGACGCAGCGAAGCCAAAGAGGCGCCTCCCCTTCAAGCCGACCGCCTTGCGACAAAAGTCCGATCCTAAGCCCACGCCACAGAAGAACGACAATGAAGGCGACGACGAAGACGACGACGATGGACTTAGCCTATTCAAGCGCTCCGCCGAGTTCTTCCCTGTCGCATTGGCAGAGCAGGAGCGACGTATGAAACGGAAGCAGGCGGAACGAGAGAGGAGCTCACAAGCGCGCTCGCCACAAGGCGAGACGAAACTTGCGCTGAGAGCCAGCGAGGAGCCTGACAAGGAGGATGCTGAGGAGGACGCAAGGTGCGCTTGTCCCAAATATGTACTACCACGTTGGCTTTCTTCTGATACATTTCCAACAGCAGGGAACTTGGCACGCCGCCCTCAAAACGCTCGCGAACTAGCGATGAATCCCCGCAATCGAGAACAAAGCTGTCGCCATACAAGCGCCGTGACGGCACAGAGACACCCTCGAAGCGCTTAACCCGCGCCGCAGCCTCGCGGACACCTCGGAAGCAGGAGGTGATACCCCACAAATCCGTCATCGCGATCGAAGATAGTGACGAAGACGCCGATGACGTCGATGATGTGGCCAGCGACGATATTTACGAAGCTTCGCCCGTCCGCAAAACTCAACGCCGAAGACAGACTTCAGAGCCCGAGGTGGCGCCTCTCGTCATTGACTCAGATGATCCTTTCACAGAAGGAACCAACGGGGATGGAAAGTCACCAGTCGCAGGAGTGGCAGAGGAAGGAGAGGAAGACGATGAGTTTGAAGAATACGTCCGCCGCGCCATGGAGCGTAAAAAGGCCCTCGAGCAGGAAGCGAACCAGCTCGTCAACGTTTTCGTCACCTCCGACATACCAGGCACCAAAGATAGGCAGTTTCGGTACACGCTTGTCAAGCCACTCAAGATGATCCGCACTACATGGATTGACGTCCAGCAGGACCGTGTCGCGATCCCCCGTGCGGAGTTGGAGGGCGTGTTCCTCACATGGCGTGGTCATGAGCTATATGACACGACGACACTACACAGCCTCGACCTGGCCATTACGTTCCGCAAGAACGGCGGCGGCGGCGGCGACGGTGGAGGTGACTCGTCCGAGGGCTTCAAGGATGATGACTGGACAAATGTACACTTGCAGATGTGGACGCGCGAGCTGTGGGAAGAGCACGAGAGACAAGAGGCGCGGAGGAGGAGACATGACCTCGGGGACTACTCTGACGACGAAGGAGTGGGACACGATGATGGTGCGGAGGCCATCGAACCCGAGACGGAGAAGAAGATCAAGGTTCTCCTGAAGACGAAAACGGATGAGCCGCTCAAGACTTCGGTGAGGCCATCGACCACCATCGGAACGCTTATGGAGCTGTTCCGCAAAATGCGCGGTCTGGCCGCAGACGCGCCCATCACACTCATGTTTGACGGCGACGAGCTCGAAGAGGATATGACGGTCGAGGAAGCCGATATTGGCGACATGGAGACGATTGAGGTCTATATAAGATGAGAGCCCCTTGGTCAACGTTGGTCAAGATCAGATTGGCTGGCTGGAGACAGTCTATGCTCTGCGGCCTGGATTGGCAAAGGCTCAAGTTTGAATATCTGAAAAAGGCGGAAAGGGCTGGAGGATTTATTCAAGATACCCAGGGAGTTTTCAGCGTCTTTTCTCATGAGAGGTAGCGTTAGCATGGATACTCAAAAAGCTTTTTGGACTTCTTGAAATTGACTTTGGCTCGTGGACCTGTGATCTACCCCCCCTTCTTTTGTCCCGATTGCCCCTTGACGACAATCTAGGTATTGCTTGCTTCGGCCACTAATCACTCATTGCTTTTAAGTGGTTATTACGAAAGGCGAAGTTGTCTCGTAGTGATCTCCTTCTGTCATTCTGTCATTCTGTTGGTATCTCGGTACTCGTCAAAGTCAACTTCTGACTCCATGCCTCTAACAAACAAAAAGTTTCGAAAAGCGTTGAGAATAGAACTCCACAACCACCACCTCAGGAAGCTGAAATCCGTGAAAGCCTTTGCAGCCCATTCGTTCCCGGCCACCAACCACCACCACATGTCCACACCCTTCGTCTCTCACAGAAGCCTGGGACACGCCCCGACCCGTCAATCGTGCCTCTCACCGCAGCCGGGACACTTGTCCTTGGTCTCGTCCTGCGGGAAGCTCCACACCTGCCCGCCGCTGGTGGCCCTCGTCCTTGCCGCGAAATCATCCTTGTCGTCCGTGACCGCCGCCGCTTCCCCGGGGATCGCGTACGCGGTCTGCCGCACCCGGTGCATCGTTCTACTGACTTGGAAGTACCGGCTGGCATTGTACTTTTCGCCCAGCCGCTTCGCGACGTCATTGGCCTCGATGAGGGAGACGAGGCGCCGCTTGTCCGGGTTCTGCTCTTGGACGGCGCGGACGACTTGCCACGTCTTTTGTTTGTCAGTAAGGCAGGCGGAGCTGTTGCTGCCGTCCTTGTCCTCGTCATCGCTGGTGTCGTCATCGTCCTTCTTGATAAAGGACTCGATGGGGCGACTGACGATAGTCGAGGGATCGTTATTGCTCTGGAACAGCGTGATTGGACTCGGCGCGATGAATTTCTCCCCTGTGACATTCTCGCGGGCGATCTCGGCGGGCGTGCGACCGACTGCGTTTTCGCGGTAGAGAAGCTTAGGCCTGTACTCGAGCAGAGCCCTCGCTAGGACGTCATCGTGGGCCATGACGACGGTGTGGAGCGGGGTGTCGCCCGCGCCGTTCAGCATCTCGAGCTCAGCGCCGCCGCGGGAGAAGTCGAGGAGGCGGGCGAGGACGGCGAGGATCTGGGCGTTGTCAACGTAGTTTTTGCTCGCCATCGAGTTATAGTGGTACGGCGAGTGCACCCTCCGGCGGGAGTTGCATACGGCCGTGATCCAGAGGTGGAAGGGGGTCGTGCCGTTGTTCTCGTGGAGGTTGTTGCGCTGCTGGCAGAGGTGGGAGGCGAGGCCCGCGTCGACGAGGTCGAGGACGGGCCCGAGGCGGCAGGCGCGAGGCATGCCTCGCAGGGCGGCGTGAATGATATTGTCGCCGGCGTTGTTGCGGACCGTTTGGTTCGCGCCGGCGGCGATGAGCGTCTTGGCAAAGTCGAGACGGCCAAAGTGGAAGGCTAGCCAGAGGGGGGTGTCACCAAGGGTCGACTTGTAGTCGAGGGAAGCAGGGCAGGCCTGGGCGAGGTATTTGATAACCTGGTTTGTTTCTTCCGTGGGGGGGCCCATGACGGCGCAGTGAATCACCAGTTCGTCTGGCGTTCGTGTTAGAGAGCATGAACGGGGATGGGAAGATGGGCAAAAGGGGGCAAAAGGGGGCAAACTCACTTTGGATGCCTAGCCACTTGGAGATGGCTCGGTCGAAGCCGCCCGGTGCTTGGCTGAGATGCTTCAGTCTCGGGTCCTCGCGGGCTGCCTTAGACTTGCCAAAGTCCACGTAGTGACGGTGAGGGGCGTCGCCAAGGAACCACTCGACGCTCTCGATGTTGCCGGCCATGGCGGCGAGGAGCAGGGGCGGCGTCTTAACGCCGGTGGAACGGACCACCATGTTCCTCCCGGCCGTGGCCCAGTCCTTTCTGTTACAAGACTTAGCAAGCTGCTGATAAGTCAGTCAAGCGCAAGGCTTCTTACCTCTTCTTGCCGTATACCGACAGTCCCTGGTAGTACTTGGGTTTCCGCTTCATCTCGACGCCACTCTTCTTAACCAGATCGTCGAGCGGGATACCCGCGCCAGTCCGCCTGATAATCTCTGCGAGAGCCGCCGTCTTGCCGTACTTGACGGCCCAGAGGAAGTCGCCGTCGGGAAATTCGAATCGGCCACCACCGCCCTCCTCCTCATCCTGGGTCCCGGCCCTGACAAGCTTCTGGCCCGCAAAGTGGTTCGCCATGTCGAGGAGAACCTTGAGCCCCGCGTGGTCGTCGTTCTGCAGGACGAACTGGAAGAGCGTCTGGCTAGAGTTCTTGCAGCTCCGTGCCTTGCCCTCCACGGTCTTGAAAGTGTGTGTCTTTTGGCCCAAAAAGTCGAGCGGCTTGACGGTGGACTTCACCTGCATTGACACTTGGCCAATGTTCTCGATGGTGAAATTCTTGTCGACGATCTCCTTGATGATCTTGGGGTCGTCGTTGGACACCGCGTCGCTATCATACTCCTCGTCGTCTTCGTCATCGGGGCCGCCCGTGTCCAGCTTGTATCGGTTCGCCTCCCGGTCTTCCGGGGCGTACTGGGCCATGACGATCTCCAGGATCGCGTAGGCCACGTCATGGTGGCCTCGAAGGTAGGCTAGCGAGAAGGCGTTGTTATCCTTGCTGTCGTTCACTGCCATCTTCAGCGGAGGCTCCTCCTGGTCCTTGCCCCAGGCCTGGAGAGTGAGTGACTTGATTTTTTCCAGATCGCCGGACCAAGCAGCTTCAAACCTATACGGGCGTCAGTTAAACCGTCAAACAATGAATAACATCTTGTACTCATAGCTCTAGGTATGCAGATTTCCTGACCTCCGTGACATCAGTCACGTTACGGAAGGAGAACACATAGCCGTAATTGTAAAAATTCTTCTGAGTCTCCGATGGCCTGTTTTGAGAGGCGTTGTTCTCCGGGAACTTGATGTCGGGATGAATCTCCTGGAAGGTCTTGCCACCCTTTTCGAGAATGACCTTCTCCAACTTCTCGAGCGAAGTAATAACCTCTTTGATGGCTTCCATTTTCTCACGGACGCCCTTGAGCTCCTCGTACTCCTTCTTCGCCTTCTCATAGCTCTCCTCCGCCCTCTTGTGGTTGACCCTGCGCCAGTAGATGTTCTCGGATATCTGCCAGTGCTGGTAGGTTCCCTCTTCATATCTCGCAAGAAACGCATCCATCCCGGCGGACAGCCTAGGCTTCACTTGTGTGAACTTTTCGCTCTTGAAGTCACGGAGCTTCTTGAGTTGCTTCTGCACGAGGTCGAGGGCAGTCTCCCCCTTGTTGTATGAGCGCTGGTACTCGTTATAGATGGCGCGGTAGGAGTTGGTCGTCATTGTGTTGGGATCCGCCCCCTTCTCGATAAGGCTCAGGGCAATCTCAGGATCCGAGCAATTATTAATTGCCACAATCAGCGGCTGGTCCGTATTTTGGTTGAACTGCTTCTTGTTGTCCTCGTATGAACCAAGTCTGCTGTTTGACTTGGAGAACTTTGCAGCCTTTAGCCAAACATCGAAGTCGATCTGCGGGTTGGCGCCGGCCTCGAGCAACTTGAGCACGAAGATTGAGTTCCCATTCTCGATTGCTGTATGGATCGGCGCGATGGCCACCGGGTTCCAGTAGCCGGCGGTGAAGACCATGTGGTTGAGCGCCGTCTTGAGTCCGACCTTGTCGTTCTCCCACAAGGTGTCGATCATCTCCTGGATGCCCTTCTTGACATAGCGGTGGAACGTCGTGCATCCGTTCATATCTGCCTGAGACGAGGTGGCGCCGAGTTTCATCAGGAGGAGAGCCATCGACTTGGCCTTTGCAATGGGCAGAGAAAGCGCGAGTGAGAGCGTCAAGATGGCCGCTGTGGGTTGCTTGTTAGAGTTGAGGAATTTGACGGGGAGAATAGCGTCGCTGCCATAATCGCAGAGAAGCCTGACGGCGTCTTCGTGTCCTTCAGAAATGGCAAGGTGCAGAGGCGAGCAAGGCATATCCCAGGCCAAGACGTCAGTCTTGAAGAAGTCGGGCTCGTCGGTCGAGTCATCTTCCAGAACCAGGTCCTCCTTGCTCTTTTCATTTTCGTCCCTGACGTTGACGAAAGATCCGGTAGCCATAGATGTCGCGTCTGCCTCGGTGTTGCCCGCGTCCACCATCTCAATGTCCGAAGCATCATCGGAATCGTTGTCCTTCACGGCATCCATGTCTTCGTCGTCCTGCCTTTGAGACGTGTTTGAATCGGACTGGTCTTGCAGTCGGGTCTGGATCGCTTTGCGGCGGCGATCGGCCTTTTCTTCTTCCTCCTCTTCGTTGGTGATACTCTTGTCCATGAGGATCTTGATTATGCCCGTGTTGCCGCGTTCGGCTGCAAGATGAAGAGCCGTCCTGCCATCAGCAAGGCGAGCAGTAAGACGCGAGCCATGCTCAACCAGACAACGGACAACCTCGGGCGTGGAGCTGATGACTGCGAGGTGGAGAGGCGTGCGTCCCGTGTAGTCTCGCTTGTTGGGGTCGGCGCCGTTTTGAGAAAGCCAATCTCGGACTTCTTCAACGTCACCGTCAACGATGCTCTGGCAGAGACGAGCCGTGTTTCCCACATAGGCCATATCAGTCCAGTCGTTCTCCGTCAGGGGGTTGAAAGAGCCAATCTGCTGTCGACCGGGATCGTCAATCAAGAAGGCAACTTTGCCAGAGATGTAGATCTCTGCCTCTCTCTCGGCGACCTCGATCTCTTCGGGTGTCACAGGTTTGGGGCAGCCACCACAGCAGTCCTCGATGACATCCTCGACGCGTCCAAAGAAGGCGGGATGGCGGTGAAGATACACCTCTCTCTCGTCGGGCTGATTCCATTCGGCGTTGAGCACTAATAGCTTGTCAGCGGACCGCTGAGCATCAAATGATGCTGTACCTTACATAGATCTCTTGTGTAACAGAGCTTTTCAATTTTCTTTGCGTGGAATCTGCTTGAATCAGCCTCTACACTCGACGGACGACGGACAAGTTAGAACGCACCCGTGACCATAGGGGACTGTGAAAGTATGGTAGTTGGAGACGTCATTCTCGTCGACCCAGTCAGCAACCTCGTCCTCGAAGTTGTCCTTGATGTTTCCATGCAGATGATGAGGGTTGAATCGATTCGTCGTGGGTCGACCTCTCTCCTCTCGTCGCTTATTAAGATATGTGTCTCGAACCGACTGAGTAGGAAGCCGCTCGAGAACGAGAAGACGGGCGAGACCGAGTGTCCTTTGGAAGCTGCGCTCAAAGATGGTAGGATCGATGCGGCTTCGCTCGAGCTCTGGCCAGTACACCTCAAAGTTGCGGTGGCTGTACTTAGAAAGCCTGTTCTCGTAGGAAGGACTCCGGCGGGTGAGGTCGATTTGGTTGACCTGAGTGATGAAACTTCCTAGGGCTCTCGGTGTCACCCAAACCTGCTTTCCGTCGTAGGCACCGCCAGCTGCGTCAATATCGAATCCGGTGAGGATCTCACCCACGGACCTGTGTCCAAGATTAGCCCCGTGCTTGATAGTTCGGATTTCACTTTGACACATTTGCCGGTTTACCTACTTGTATACACGCAACACAATCTAAGATCACGGTTAGGATTGGTCACTAATGAGCGAGGAGATGTGGCCACAGTTACCTGAATGTGACGGATAGGGTACTGAGACGCAATGGTAATAGCGTACTTGGTTCGAACCACAGTGACTTCGGTCAAGATTGCGTCTCGAACCGAGGTCTCAATTTCCTTGATCTTCTCAATGGCCTCTTCATGGGTAAGACCGTAGAGAAACAGGTCCACGTCTGATGCCGGGCAGAAATTCTCGTGATAGTACTCCCGAAGCTTGCGCTTGGTCGTGTTGAACTCTGGTGGAACAGGAAGAAGGGTGTTGATGACTGACGAACCGGCAGCAACAACGTTGTCCCAGTTCATGTCAACGAGGGAAGACTCGGAGAAGACGTTGAAGTTCTTTTGGAAATCCTTGAGGCCGGAGACGACGGCGGGGGAGCCGTTGGCGCGACGCTTGTCGTCCGGGAGGGCCATGATGTAACGATCTTTTTCTTCCTGCGTCTCGGCGGCTAGGAAGCGTGCGCGGGTTTTGATGTTCTTGGTGTCCTTGGTGAAGAGGGGCACGAGATTGACGTGCAGGTCGTCGAGGGCAGGATTCTTGCGGTCCTGGGCGAAGACGGATCGTAGCTGGGCCTCGTACTTACGGTAAGGTTCTAGTATCTCCATCATCTTCTTCTCTGGGTGCTCGTGGATGTAGTTGACCAAATCCTCATGGGGGACTGGCAACCCCTGAAGCTCTGAGACGGACATTGTGGCAAGTAATGGGGATTACTTGGTCCTTTTGTTGGAGAGAGTTGGGTGGATGGCGCGGCTGTCTTGGTCGTGTGCAGTCCTGGGAGACGGGATTGTCAAGTTCGGTTTGAACAGAAGGAGTTCAAGCTCAGGAGACGTGTGGGCGGGGTAGATGATCAACGATGTAAGCTGAGAGGCTGGACAGATTGATTGGCAGACCATGGAACAGGGAGAAAGGAGACCTTGGGGATGGAGGTTCACCAAAGACGCATTAGAAAAAGAAGACGAGGAATTGAAGCTATCTTATAATCTCGAGGGCTCCGTTGGCCGCATGCCATCTTGACCGTTTGTTCTTGAAAAGGAGGGGTGATGGTTTTAGATCGTCCCAGGCAAAGCCATGTCAGATGCAAGGTACCTTTTCCCTGCGATTCCTACTTGGGGGTACATGAGCCAGGCGCTACCGCGGATGCGTCGTTAAACGAGCGGTTCATAGCAGGGCTGTTGCGAAGAGGTACCTCGACGAAATTATCTCCAATGGCTGGTACGGCAAGGTCCCATGGCTGAACGAGCATCGCGTATCCGTAGGTATTCAATGGATACAGAGCACTTGCTGTCGCGCAATGGCTTGACATTCAGGCAGGAGACGCGCTCAGAGAGACGAAAAGGGAGAGCTCTGACACGATGCGGTAAATGCATGGGGGTATGTTGCCTAAATCGCGGTGAGGTTTTCGACGCGAAGTCCAGTGACCTCCACAGCGACCCACTGTTTTCTTCCCGCCGTAAGCCGCCATAGGCCGCTGCTGCCTGCCTAGTGCGCTCCCCAACCTTGACACGACCTCGATTCGAGCCTCATGGACGACATCCGAGGCCGGCTGCAGCCTGGACGTCTAAATTCCTCAAATTTTGGAAGGAAAAAGATCAGCAATAAAGATGAACTATCTGATTTCCATGCAACAATTATGTCAGCGGTCGGGACTAGGTTCGGGGTCATCTGATCTTTGCCACTGTCTCGCCAGGCAAAGCAGCGTTCTAGACCCCTCCACAAGGTAAGGTGGTACGGGTACGTTTCGTCTCTATCATGGAAAGTGAGATTGCGACTCAGCATCAGCCTCGGTATCGATGAAGAAACAACTCCAAGGTACTGGTTGGGTTCTAAGCATTCTTGATCACATTGTCTAATAAATGTTGTCATTTTTGTCAATCAGCGACACGAGAAAAGACTGCGCTGTCTACTTAACTCATCTGACTCTCTGACAGAAGCTTGAGCAATCTAGATCTGTGTGGGTGGCTAGTTGAACGATCCGGGACAACCGTTGACGGTTCACGTCGACGAACTCACTGACCTTTTCAGTCCTGACGCTACAGATTAAGTAAACTACGATGTTGCTTCATGTCTACCCCAAAGGTAAGCCAGAGGGACATACATACATATGCCCTAAACCAACATTTTGATCACTGAACCAACAGCTGTCGACTTATTTCCCAGTAATGGGCGCAGACTCAATGAGCAGCACACAAAGACGACCGCTGCTCCAGGGGATGGGATGCCAAAGCAACGCTTAAAGAAACGTCATATCCACATCACAAGGCATAAGGTAACAGGCTCAATAAGCATCCCGCTTGTTCTCAGGATGGTCACGAGCGTCTGGCTCTGGGACGAAACGAATTGCAATGTGTTTCGCCGGCCCCGTTGACACTTGGTCTGGTCCACGACTGCAGCCTCGGGTCGGTGGAGAGGAAGCCAAACTCAGCACCGTCGGTGGCTTTGCTGTCCGGCTCCGGAACGGCGGCCCTTATGCACCGGCACCGCGCGGATCAAGAGGAAGAACAAGAGGAAGAAAAAGCCGGGACGCCAAGGAGGCGACCGGCAACGGCAATCCGAATTTTGTGGAATGTGGCATAGGAAACAGCACCGCCGAGTCCACGGACCAAAACCGGGGCCAAGAGCTGCAGCGGAGGACAGGGATGAGGAGCAAGGATGGGGACCCGGGGTGGGTCATCTCAGCCTTGGCCCCTGTGGGGGCATTCCTGTTTCAATTTCCTAGAACCACAAGTCCTGACGTAGGGGACAATTTCAACCCGCCAGACCAGGCCACTTTTGGCGTGTCAACACCACCCAGCACCACCCAACACCGCCAAACACCACCCAACACAACACACAAACACACACAAGTCTCACTCTAATCCAGCTACGGCAGCTTGCCGCGGCACGTTGGTTTTTACGGTTAATACGTTTCAACCCTTTGTTGACCCGTCGACCCATCCTTTCGTAGGCCTCCCATGCACCTTCCTTGCATGCCGCTAATTTTACCTCCCGAATCGGTTTTCCCACGAAGCGAACATGTATTTCTAGTACCCACCCTACCACTCCTTGCTAAAAAGGTAAAAAGGACATGAAGCCGTTGCCAGAGCTGACGTAGCATTTTGCGCTGCGGGAGTGGTGCCCTTTGGCTTTCCGCCCAGGAACTGCCCTGCAAGCATAGAACCGGCGTGTTTGCCCAATGCGAGCTGGTCTAGGAGCTCTGGCCACATATCGTCATCCCAAGTTCCGAACCCCAAGACGCCGGCAAACAAATCGCTGATGGCCTTGACCTTGGCAGCTGAGAGGTTTGGCAAGCTCGTCCGCACTCAAACGCTGTCCGGCTGTCACCGGTGGCTCACGGCCTCGCCTCATCCAAGGAACGTCGCGAGGTGAGGGGGGCACGTGGATGATGGAACGCCAGCACGTTGTCAACTGATAAGCCCAGAAATAAAACCAGGATACGGGTCGTTGCTTACTTTTTTGCAGCAACAGGAAGCTATAGTTTGATGCAGAGCGAGGTGGTTGGTATACGTGGATTATTACGGATACTCACACGAATAGGATCGGAAGGGTACTTTACCAACTTACTTTGTATAGTGTGTGCCTACAATCTACATGTTTTGGATGTCTCTGCATGAAGTCAGCTGGATTGATTTGCTGCAGCAAGGATTGTGGACTTGGACTGAACTGAATGCCCGGTCCTCCTGGCGTTGCCCTACTCAATTCGAGGGATACACAGGAAATTTCGGAGGCCGCCTTTGGACATGCCAACACGGGACTTTACTTGGGGGGGAAAGCTTGTCAACGACGGTCAGAGAGTTGGCCATCGCCACAACAAAGAAGCGAGAGTTTGTCCAACACCGCCACCAACAACAACACCAGAAGCTGTCCTCCTTCCTCTGTCCCAGTATGTCGCAGAACTCCATGACGGCCTCTCCTTGTGTCCAGTCCGACTGTCCGTCCTAGGTTCACCCCTAGAAAGCGCCCCCGGTCCACCTCACCCTGCTGCAGTTCGCAGCACGAGCGGACAGGGCTACCCGGGCGGCTTCATACCTCCCCCCAGCACAGTTTCCAGCAGTACCTAGGTAGGTAGTGTAGCGCTCGTTGCCAACAGCGGTTGCGTAGTGGACTATCATATCCCCACCGTCGACAATCCCTGCCACTTTAATTCCTAGCTCGCGTCACTCTGCGCTACCTGGCCCAGCAGCGCATCCAATCCAACACAACACACTCTTCTCGTGCGATTTGTGGTGGGATTCGATAACACCCTCTTTCCGCTTGATCTTCCTGCTTTTTCCCTTTCCCATCTTCCATTCCTCTTCTCCCCGAGCTCGTTTTCTTTGCTATTGTCTCTATTTGGCATCGCAACACCAGATACCCGGACGTTGATACCCTTCCTGCAAGCAACTAGTTCGCAAAGAGCAAATCTTCGGACCCCCTGGGTTCTTGAGAGCTGACAGGCGCGCAAACTAGACCCTGCCAGTCGAATTTGCGCTGAGATATTGTAAGGAGCTGTTGTTGCACAGGGATATCCTCTGTGCTTCTTTCCATGATCTGACTGTTCTTCTTCCAGACCAAGACGGAATCAAATCACAAGCCCATCGTATAATCGCAAGCATGGCTTCGCATCCCCAAGGAGAGGCCCTCGACGATGTCGAGCACAACCCCCATGCCTCGGCCAACAGATGGCGCCACCAGGAGAGTTCAGCTTTCCTTCGCCATGCCGCCGGTACCCACGGCCATGCGCAACCCCGCGATCCCCAAGAACGAGGAACTACCAACGACCTGGCCGATTTCCTGAACCGCGACCGCGTCGAGCCTGAGAACCCCAATGCTCTACCCAACTTTAAGCCCATCATGGTCGCTGCTGGTGAAGCCGCTGGTCAGGAGGAGCCTCGCGCAACGGCAACCCACGCTCAGGAGCAAGACGCTCCCGACGGCAGGGACATCATCTGTGGACCGCTGCTCAACTACCGTAGGATGGACGAGACCAAGTGGTACGGAAGCGTCTTGATCGTTACCAAGGGTGGTGGCAAGACCCAAAGCTTCGCACCGCACTTGGTTTTGCGCCCGGCGAATGCGACAAACGTTCAGCACGCCCCTGTTGAGACGAACGGTGTCAACGGTGAGTTTTCCGACGCAGCAAATGGCGCCAGCACAAACGGCACAGAGACCCAGGGTCAATGTCTCTACTCTGATCCTCGCAACACCTTCTGGGCCTTCGACTTGTCGCTCCCGCTCACCCAAACGGAGGCGAAGTGGGAGTACTCAATCCCTGATATGCGATTCTCAGTTGGCAACATCAGGCCTGATCGCTACCACTTCTTCGTCCCGGCCATTAACGAGTCGATGCGCATCATGTTCCACTCCTGCAATGGGTTCAGTGTGGGCACTGACGAAGACGCCTGGAGCGGCCCCGCCTTGTGGAACGATGTGAACCGACACCACAAGGAACGGCCATTCCACGTCATGTAAGTCCAACTTCTCGACCTGGTACGAGGCCGCTTACTGACACTCAAAAAGGCTTGGAGGAGGTGACCAGATCTATAACGACGGAATCCGAGTCGACGGACCTCTGCGCGAATGGACCGAGATCTCGAACCCCAAGAAGCGCAGGCACTTCCCATTCCCTGAGAAGCTTCGCCAGGCGTGTGACGACTACTACCTTAAAAATTACATTCGCTGGTATGTGCATGGTGAAGGAAGCACCTGAGGGTTTGAGAGAACTAATATTGTGAACAGGTACTCTACGGAGCCGTTTGCGACTGCCAATGGCCAGATTGCGCAGCTCAACATCTGGGATGATCATGATGTATATTGAAGCTTGAACACAATGTATTGAATGATCTGCTAACCGAACGACCTAGATCATTGACGGCTTCGGCTCCTACGTCGACGACTTCATGCGATGCGACGTTTTCAGAGGTATTGGTGGAACTGCTCACAAGTACTACATGCTGTTCCAACATCACCTGCCTCCACCACCATCCACCTACACTTCGGGTACATTTTTCTATCCTACAGCGAAAGAATTTAGACTGATACATGAACAGACCACGCGACGACGTCCGAGAGCCAAGGACTTGACCCCAATCAGCTCATGGATACCTACGTTGCACCTAGCAAGTCGGATCTCAGCTACATTGTTGGCAAACAGCCTGGTGTAAGAAACCGGTGCAAGTTCTCCTTCCAAGCACAGCTAACCATTCTCCCAGCCCTACGTCGCAGAACACTCACATAACATGTTCGCCCGGCTCGGTGCGCGAATTGCCTTCCTTGGCATCGATGCTCGAACTGAGGTAAGGCTGCGGGGAAGCTCATACTGTGAAGGCGCAAAATTAACAACAGCTCATAGCGCACGCGCCATCAAATCAACTACCCGGAGACATACGACTTGATCTTCAGCCGTCTCAGACAAGAGCTCAAGGGAGCCCAGGAGTCTGGACGTCCGTTCAAGCACTTGATTCTTCTGCTAGGAATTCCAATTGCGTACCCTGTAAGTGGAGACAGCTTGCGAAATGTACTCGCAGAGATTGACTTTTCCCTAGCGCTTGACATGGCTTGAGAACGTCTTCCGTAGTCCCATTATGGGTCCTGTGAAGTTCCTGAACCGAAGATTCGGTCTCGGTAAGTGTCCAATGGGAAGACAGGATCGGCCTTGACTCGCTGACAATCCCAGCTGGTGGTGTTTTCAACCACTTTGACGGCAGCGTCGACTTGCTCGACGACCTTGACGACCACTACACAGCCAGAACTCACAAGAAGGAGCGCAACGCTCTTGTCGAGAGGCTTCAGGCCATCGCGTCGGAGTTCTCAGTCCGTATTACCATCTTGGGCGGCGATGTGCATTTGGCGGCTATGGGCCGATTCTACTCGCATCCTCGCCTGAACATTCCCTCAGAGAACGACCACCGCTACATGGCCAACGTGGTCTCTTCTGCCATTACCAACAAGCCACCGCCAGCGGCGATTGCCAACTTGCTGGCCAGGAGAAACAAGATCCATCACCTGAACCACGACACGGACGAGACGCTGCTGAAGTTCTTCGACAAAGATCCTGGCGACTCGAGCAAGACTTCCAACTCGAACCATGTGACTATGCCCAGCCGTAACTTTGCCATTCTCACGGAGAACTCGCCCAACAATGGACTGGCTGCGCCCACCAACGGCGATGCGCGGTCTGTGATTTCCGGCAAGGGTGGGCACGATTTCCTCCACGTCGGCGAAGTTGAATCGGGTTCAAAGCACAAGGCAGCCGGAAAGCAGCACGGCACCGGTAACGATGGCAGCTTGGATATCTGCATCCGTGTCGAGATCGATCAACATAACCGCGAAGGCATCACCGAGGGTTATGGTGTCACTGTTCCCCAGCTCAAGTACAACAACCATCCAGAGCCAGTTGGGCCTTTCCCTGCGCAGGAGCGTGAGAATGGACATGACGAATGAAGAGACTCGGTCCAAGGTGGTGGAGAAGATGTCGAGAATCGGCGCTCGACATTGGCTAGCATTTTTGCAACGGTTGTCGGAGATCCCATCCGATGCGTTGTTGGTTGCATTACGTTATACCCATGAAGCGAATGAGCTGAGGAAAGTGAGGAGACAGATGGATGTACGATGTTGCGGGTGCATCTGGGGGGTAAATCAACCTTTGTTGTGTTTTAATGATTGATTGTGTATATCTCAAAAGACTAATATCGTTGAGGGCTTGAGCGAAGACGGAGCCATTATCCGAGTTTCTCTGTTTCTGCAAAGTGCCATTCGTTTGCTCTAGGCACTTTGCAGCAGCACCTCTGTACCTTCGTAGGTAATACACGACTTGTCTCCACGTCGGAACATCCATCCGATCCCGACGTCGCAAAGTCGGGATCGGGACAGCTGATTGCCTTTATCTGGCGGGCCCACTGAGCCGATCAACTCCGCTGCTATCTCGACCCCAAATCGAGGACAAGGTACAATTGACGCTTGTGATTGGCTGATGTCTCCCCCGCAAAGCTGTGCAAGGTTGCGATAGGCAGCTGGGTCGCTGCTCAATGGAAGAGTGCTGTTGCCATCGTTATCGGCAGAGCGACACCGGGACCCCACATTAGCAGCCGGACGTCTGGCCCCGCAGCCCCTCACAAGCTCTCCGCCGCAAGCTGTCGCGTTCTTAAACCGCGCCCACCCGACGTTTGCGTGCCCTGTGGTTGGCATTGCTGGCATCCAGGAACAATTTCCGTGTCTCACGACTCGTCCAGATTTTTCATTACGTTACGCTACAAATCTTAATAGCCAGTCGGCCGCAGTCCTCGTTTCTCACCCGAGGTCACCTGCTCTCATGTGAACCAATTGTCCATCACCCATAGACCACTGCTCACGCTCATCACTTGTTTTGTGTGTGCTTCCGAGGAATACTCACTTGCCCGCCCGATCCGATATAGAAGGCGTTCACGCAGCACCACGGTGTCTCTGCCCATCATGGCGTCCACACGAGCAACTGGGCTTCTCAACTCCCAGCTCCGGAGCTCTTCCCGCATCACGTCCCTCGGACGCAGCGTCTCTGCTATTGCAACGACCAGACTCACAACGCGCTTGTCCGCTCCGGCGACAAGGATAACCACAAGAATGGCGACCTTTGCTGCCTTCAAGATTCCCAAGATTACAAACGAGCCCAATGTAGGTGACATATCGGACGAAGCTCGAAAGGGCGCCAGTGAGGGGTAGTCGACTGACAATCACCACAGCACCATTATGCCAAGGGCTCCGCTCAGCGTCAAGGCTTGGATGCCGCGGTCAAGACCCTTCAGAGCAAACTGCCTTTGGAGGTGCCAATTGTAGTTGGCGGTCACGAGGTTAGTCGCGCTAAACATCTACGCTGTTATTCGACTGCGTGTAGCTGACAGCGTGCCTAGATCTTGACGGGCAACACGGGAAAGCAGGTCAACCCCGCCGACCACAACACCACCGTAGCGACGTACCACCAGGCCTCGCCCTCCGATGTCACCAAGGCTATCAAGTCCGCCCTCGCAGCCAAGCCCGCTTGGGAGTCCCTGCCCTTCGCCGACCGCGCTGCCATCTTCCTCAAGGCCGCTGACCTGATCTCCACCAAATACCGTTACGACATCATGGCCGCCACCATGATCGGCCAGGGCAAGAATGCGTGGCAAGCCGAGATCGACGCCGCGGCCGAGCTGGCCGACTTTTTGCGTTTCAACGTGCAGTACGCCGAGGAGCTGTACGCCCAGCAGCCGCAGCACAACAGCCCGGGCGTGTGGAACCGCGTCGAGTATAGGGCCCTCGAGGGCTTCGTGTACGCTGTCAGCCCCTTCAACTTCACTGCCATTGCCGGTAACCTCCCCGGCGCGCCCGCGCTTCTCGGCAACGTCGTCGTCTGGAAGCCCAGCGACTTCGCCATCGCTTCCAACTGGCTGGTCTACAACATCCTGCTCGAGGCCGGCCTGCCCCGCGACGTCATCCAATTTGTCCCCGGCAACCCCGAGGAGATTACCAATCAAGTGCTGAAGCACAAGAGCTTCGCCTCTCTCCACTACACCGGTAGCACCGCCATCTTCCGCAAGCTGTATGGTGCCATTGGACAAGGTGTTGCGGAGGGCCGCTACACCTCGTACCCGAGGATTGTCGGCGAGACGGGTGGTAAGAACTTCCACCTGATCCACCCCAGCGCCGACGTCGATAACGCCGTCAAGCAGACCATCCGCGGCGCGTTTGAGTTCCAGGGCCAAAAGTGCAGCGCGACGTCGCGTGCCTACGTACCGGCGTCCCTCTGGCCCCAATTCAAGGAAGGTCTCGTCGCTGAGGTCAACAAAATCAAGATTGGAGACCCGACCGACCACGGCAACTTCATGGGCCCCGTGATCCACGAAGCCTCCTTCAAGAAGCTCGCGGGCGTCATCGACGCGGCCAAAACGGACAAATCCCTAACGCTCGTCGCGGGCGGCACGTACGACTCTTCAAAGGGCTACTTTGTCCACCCGACAATCTACCACACCACCAAGGCGGACCACAAGCTCCTGAGTACCGAGCTTTTCGGCCCCGTTCTCGTTGTACACACGTACGACGACGTGAGCGGCAGCGGCAGCAACAACGCGTCGGCGGGAGCCTTTTCCGACGTCTGCCAGCTCATTGACAGCACGGGCGAGTACGGCCTCACGGGCGCCGTCTTTGCGCAGGACCGGGCTGCGGTGGTGGTGGCCGAGGAGAAGCTGCGCAACGCGGCGGGTAACTTTTACATCAACTGCAAGAGCACGGGCGCCGTGGTGGGCCAGCAGCCGTTTGGCGGCGGCAGGGCGAGCGGGACGAACGACAAGGCGGGCAGCCAGAATTTGCTTAGTCGGTTTGTGAGCTTGAGGAGCATCAAGGAAGAATTTGCGGCAACGACAAAGGTTGAGTATCCTAGTAACGAGGTCTAGAAGGTGTCCTTTGATGTGGAAAGTGAAAAGGGAGGGAGGGTTTCAAGGGTTGTAAATTGTGACGGGTCTGATTTTCTTCTTGTTTCATCATTTTGGCGGTGGTATGGGATATCTGGTTTTAACACTCACGTTGACATGAGTGAAGCATTACGAGCATTTGCTACGATCGAAAATGAAGACATTGAATCTTTCTAGCTAGCTAGCTTACTGCGATGGAGAAAAAAAATCTCTGGATTGCATGAACACATATCCACATGGACGTCCAAAACTTTTGGTGACTGTCACGTGCGCACATTGAAATCCAAGGACGACGGCGCAAAGATGCAAGGACCGAGATGATGGAGGGAGGGGAGGGGCGGTGGACATGATTCAAGCTTCTTGCTAGATTCCATGTCCGCAGCGGGTCCTCCGGGTTACCGTTCGCTTCTCAAGGGTTTCGGCCGCTAGTCCGGGTTGGGGAATGGCCACTGCTGCCTCTCTGGGGCTGGGGCGCACGAGAGCTTCCACATCTAGATCCTGCTCCTCTTTTATAGAGTTTTGGATCTCCGGTTTTCACCACCGGCCTACTATGCACCTACACTTGAAGGAGAAGGAGGCCCGGGAGACACAGAAACAGGCAACCCGGGTCATGACCTGGCCCAAGGCAGGTGAGGCAAGGTAAGCAAAACGGCTGTGCGGCTCAACCTAAACAAAACTTATAGTGCAAGCTTTCCATGTTCGAATTTCCCTCATAAGATATTATTGGGGTAGGCGGCCTCTTCTCTACATTTGATCATACTGGTAAAGACTGAGGCAATTATCGGATTTGTGATTTGGGATGGGATATCCCACGACGGGCCGCAACACGTTGCAACGAGACCAGGCTAAGTCAGGGGAGAAGATCCCGTTGACAAAGCGCGAGTGAGGAAAGTCTGCATGGTTATCAATATCAGTAGACGCGAATGGTACGGATAAACTTGAAGAGATATGGAGAGGAGGGGCAAGGAATGGTGCCCACGTGCTCACTTTACAAGAGGACAGGGGCCCGGTTCGTCATCGGTCCCATAGGTAGGTAAGTCAACGTCGGCACGGTACGAGTCGCCAAACCCTCACTTCAGCTTTTGCGAATCAATCTCAAACGCCGAAACGGCTGCTCCATCAATTACAGATACATACAAGAGGCACGTTGCCAGGCACGCGCGCAGCTGAAAGGTGGGGAGAAGGGGGATTTTACGGGATGCGGACGGAACACGGCTCGCGACACGGGACACTGACCACCTCTGGTCGGAAATCGACAATATGTAAGAGGCCAGCCGGCCAGTGAGTTTCCTCGACCAACGAAATGTCGAGCACATGTCTCGTGCCTCTCTCTGGATTTCTCGGTTCATGCCAGACAAAGTCGCATCGGAAACTAAGCTTCCCAGACCCTCACTCTCCAGGTCTACAGACGCCCCCTCCCATCCTCCACTCATAAATTGTTGGCATGGGACATGGCAGCAATGGGAGGGTACCGACGATCCCATGTGGCCGTGCTGCCAAATTGACAAGCACAGCAGCTCTTCTGTGAGCTTGTGCGGCGACGACGTACCTACGTAGTATCTTTTTGGGGGGGGGGTGTGTGAACCTTGCGTGCGGGCGCTTGGCGCTGGGGGTTGCTTAGTTGCCATTCAGGAACACCATGTGCTCGAATCCGCGCTTCTGATTGGCCAAGAACCTCGAACCCACGATGCTGCCTCTCCTGCCCGTTTCCTCGCCCAGGAGTCCAGGTCCGCCCTCCTGATTGGGCAGCTTTTTCTTTCCGTCTTTCGTTCGTCTTATTCTGCGTTACTGCCCTCTAGTGTTTACGGGGATTTTCCCTTTGGGACATTTCTTCTGGGCTTGGAGTCGCGTGCCCTCTCTCCTCCAACCTAGTTCGTTCAGGAGAGCACCCCTCCCTCTCATCCCCAAGGCCCTTCGCACTTCCATCAGGGTTGTTACCTATGCCGATAGGAGGACCATCACTGCCGCTGCCAGTCTTTCACCCATGCCCCAGTCCAAGGCGAGGGGGGGGGGCGTGGGTGGCTAGACGGCTGCTAAGAGGTTGACGGCTATCTAACGCAAGTGCCTTAACAGATTGCAGCCACGGGTCCGGGGTTGTAGTTAGATAGAGACGGGGTTGAGGCACGAGTGAGAATAGGTATGTATGGATGAACAAGCCAAGGATGGCGAAAAGCGAGAGTCAGTCAAAGTCGTGGTTGTGGTTGTGCGCCGCCTCGACTTGCATCTCCCGTGCCGTATCTGTAGTTCATTACTCTACCTCACCTCCCTCCCCTCTACATCTTCTTGAACTTTTCTTTTCTCACGGACACCCAAGTCACCCTCCCTTCAACACTCGCGTGCTCCTTCTTGAGCCCTGGTTATTGTCTTGTAGTCAGAGCAGCGAATCGGATTTGCATCCTCCTACCAGACAGCATCGACCAGGCGCTTCTGCATCCGTGGCCAAGCCCAGAACAGCCTTCGACACCCAGCCGTCATCTTTCCCGTGGGCACAGCCTCAAAAGCAGACGTCAACCGATTTGTCGCTCAGCATAGAGCCTCGAATTTCCCTCACTCGGCTTCCTGTTCTCAATCTAGTTCTTCGTCGGGCATACTTCTGTCGTGTGAATCGCTCAGAGTCCGCTCGTACTTCGTCTCCCACATTTCTCTCCCTCCCTCCCTCCCTCTCTCTCTCTCTCTCTCACGCACACCTCACACGCACACGCGCACACCACATACATTACGCACAATGCCGCGTCCGACATTACCACCCACGCCGGCGTCTTCCACGGATATAAAGGGTCAAGATGGCTCCAAGGACCTCGCTTCCCTCCAGCTTTCCTTCGAACTGCCCCCGCCAGCACTCGTCCAGGACGCCTCGAGGATCTCGCCAAAAGACACGAGGAGGACGTCGCCCAACACCACCGGCTTCCAACCCATTTCGCCCTCCAACGTGAACAAACCGTACCCAGTGCAGCCCAGCGAGACGGTCAAATCCCGCCGGCGCTCGTCGGCAGCCCAAAAGGCGGCTGCCTCGAATGAGAGCTTCGCGCTGCCCCCGCCGCCGACCAGGTCACGCAAGATTATCCAAATGAAGCCCCGTGCTCAACAGCAGAACGAGGCCGAGGACACCACCCCGCCAGCGGCCGGTGCCAAGGCGGGGGCTGCGGGTCCAGGAAAGGCCGGCGCGACGGCGGCGGCGGCGGCGAATGGGTCCTCCGCTTCGACGGCGCAGGGTAAGAAGAAGGCGCCGTCTGCGACGAGCGCAGCGGGACGGAAGATTGCGAGGAAGACGGCGCACAGTTTGATTGAGCGGCGCCGCAGATCCAAGATGAATGAGGAGTTTGCCGTTTTGAAGGGCATGATACCGGCCTGCACTGGGGAGATGCACAAGCTGGCCATTTTACAGGTCAGTCGAGTCAATCATTTCGTTTAGTATCAACCTTTGGGCACTAGCTAAATGTCGTGCAGGCGTCGATCGAATATGTGAGGTACCTAGAGGACTGCGTCTCCAAGCTCAAAGCCCAACGAGACGCCTCTGAGGCCCGCTCACCCACCGAGTCCGGCCTGCAGACGCCTTCGGGGGGGCGCGGCGAGCCGTGGGGCCAGATCCCGCAATTCGTCCCCCGATATCAAGAAGACCCCGACGACGTGGAGATGACCGACTCCGAGGCCCCATCACCGACCTTCCCGCCCGTTCAGCAGCATCAGCATCAGCACGCGCAACAGCAACCGCAACAACAGCAGCAGCAGCAGCATTCCCACTCCCACTCCCACTCCCGCTCCCAGCAGCCGTCCGTGTCGCCCGCCCTCCTGCCGCAGGACTTGCGGGAAAGACACCGCCACGACTCGTACTCGTCAGTATCGACGGACCACCCGCGCCACAACAGCTACAGCTACAGCACCTCGACGACGACATCGCCCGCATTCGGGCCGCAGACATATGTCGGCGGCGTCGGCGGGTACGGGAGCCTTTCAGCGCTAACCAGTCCCGCGCTGGCGCCGCAGCGGGATCGCGATCTGGATCACGAGGCGACGGCGGCGCTGCTGATGCTAAATAGCGATCGGAGGGGCACGAGCGGGGGTGGTGCTGGACCAGCGAGGGGTGCTGGACGGGGCATGTCGGTGAGGGATCTGCTCAGTACTTGAGGGAACCCTTGTTACTGAATGACAGATGTGTCAGGTAAAGAAGGGGGGCCGGTGATCTTAACCGATGCTCGAGAGAAGACCCCGGCGGAGCCGACGCTTCGACCTCTGTCAGCATTAAATTTGCCATGATGGTCAGGGTTTCTCTATGCGGCGTGGTCTAGAGGTTTTATCGCATGAAATGCGGGAAATGAAAAACTTGGGATGAAGAGGTTCTAGAATCCCCAGCATCATGGATTACTGTCAGAGCTCCACAGGGGACATGTTATTCATCGCAAATACGATGGGAGAAAGAGAGCAATCTTTTCAAATCGCGGAAACACGGATGGGGGAGTATTTGGGATGGAGTTGGGCGGTCTGGGCGCGGCGCATACGGAAGGGGTCTTCTCACCCCCATGAGCCTTGTCGGTTGTCAATACTAGTTATTGCATTGGTACGGGATGAAAATATCCAGAAGGGAATAATAGAACGGCCGGTTGGACGACCGCATGACTTGACCCGTACATGTCTTTGAAAGAGTTTCTTCCTCGAGTGAACATACGATAGGGGTCTTCGATCGGCGACAAGCGTTTGACCCTCTCTCGTGAAGGGAAATCTTTAGAGTCCCATTCCCAAGCTAGCCCCTGAGGTTACCAGATGGACGGGCATGCAGGAGGTTCGCGGCGGGCGACGGCCGCGATAGGTGACCCAACCGGATCCATCGAACAAGAGTCGCTAGAGGCTGCATCCTAGTTCGTTTCGTTAACGGACGGAGGGAAAAGAGAACGAGGGATGTTCTGGAGAGCGATGCGTGTGTGTGTGTGTGTGTCCAGGTTGCATTACGGGTTTCAGGGTCTGGCGGCATCGTACGAGATCCTCACCCGTCCTTCTCCACCATCGACCCATCACGTGACGGTGCTTCAGTCTCGAAGGAGGCCCGTGTAAGTCAAGTTTGCCCAGTTTGATACCGTTCTTTGGTGTCATCCTCATGGATGTGGTAGGTGGGCGGGCTTGTTGAAACGAATTCCAGGGAATATTACCTTTCTCTCTTCTGATGGCTGCGGCGAGTCGAGATTTTATGGGTACCATATCTTTGATGGAGTGGGAAGAGTTGAACGGGTATATAACCCAGATACCGCCTTGACGGTGTTCAATCTCTGACTCCTAATCATGTTTTGCGATTTTCTTCTTCGACGTGTATATGCAAGGATCAGTGCTTCCTTGACTTTGGGATTCTCTATGTCGTCTTGATTCGATCCTACAGAGAAAGACAGCGGTGAGCCATCCTCGACTGCACCACGAGTATCTAAGACAAATACAAATACGACAAGGTCGCCCACATATTCACCACTCAGATCACTTAATCCCCCCCAAAATTTACCTCAAAAAGAGTAAAAAAGATGGCCCCACGAAGCATCATCACAGCCTACCCTCAAGGCCACCGGCGCTATGTCTCGCCCCCAATCAGCCCCTCCACATTCGCCCCGGACGCGAACGACATCCTCGCGGAGCTGGGCCTACGCGCCGACGACTCGGCTTCGAGCGCGGGCGACTCCAGCACGGGGTTCTCGACGATCGACTCGGGCGTCAGCGTGAACGGGGGTGGGAGCGGGACTGTGAGCGGGGCCGGCGGTCGGAGGAGGCGGCGTCGGAATCGTAACCGGAACGGCAACGGCAACGGACACAGTAAAGAAAACAGCACTCAGACGGCACACAATGGCAGCAGTGGAAACATCAGTATCGATAACAAGAATAGCCACGGCGGGAATTTCAACAGGCAGACGACGGTGGTGATGCCCCGACAGGGCGGCGAGCGGGACGAGAAGCCTGTGCGCTTACAGATTGGGTTAAATCTGGACGTCGATTTGGAGCTCAAGGCGAAACTGAAGGGAGATATTTGCTTATCTTTGGTGTAAGTATCCCCTCCCTCCGTGCTTATATTTTCTTAGTTCTGATAATTCCCTCCTTTTCCTTCCAATTCTATTGTTTATTCCAAGGAACTGACGGAAAACTGACCAGGCGCGACTGAGAAAAAAGAGTGGAGAGGAAGTTCTCCAAACGCGAATCGATACGGGTGAAGCCCAACTGGAAGGGCGAAGTCGACGTCAAAGAGATGTTCCACATGCGCCTCGGCAAATTCAGCTTCAGACAGCGCTGGATCGATCGCGAAGTCAGCGAGAGTCTCACTTTGGCGATTGGAGTCTCGCTCGCCATGGGCGGGTTTGTTGCGGGATTTGCGGCGTCGAAATGGCTCTGCTGATTCTTTTACAACTCGTTTTTGGGTATGGGAAAAGGAGAGACGCAAGGTTTTCCTTGTGGTATGCGGGAGATGTCGTATATTCTGTGGTTATGGGACAATGGGAGGCGTTTGGGAAGTGACACTGGGTTGTCCTTTGCGAGAATTTGGTGCATAAAAGTAAGCGCCGCAAAGGTCACGGTTGCGTGTGGCTTGGCAAGAAAACACATAAGCTGGATATTAATTTAATACCAACGGATGAAAATGAATAAATAACATTGAATCGCATTTTATACATGGCAATGGGCCATCTCGCAGCTGTATGACCTTTTGGCCAGCATGGTATTCTCAAAATCCATATCGCTAACAAAAGCATTCAGCTCAGTTAGGACGAAAAGTATCAGTCATGGAAGGTATCCTCCTCCGTCCACCCAACGGCCAGAAACGTGGAAAGTCGGGTGTGTGGAGCGGGTCTTCCATTGCAGTGTCATGAAACTTCACGCGGGAGGTTGTGGCGTGTTTTCCCAGGGAAGCAAGTGTCTGTGCGGTGCTTATGCTGAGATGTATTCTCCCAGCGTGGAGACATTCGTCACATTGTCTGATGTGAAGTTGACATGGGCCGAGCTGCTGGGTAGCTGTGCAGAGTCGTACGAAGCTCGACTTGGGTAGAAGACGAAGCGCCCCGCGACGGTCTGTCTTAGTTAGACCTAGCTTCGTTGCTTGCTACACCGATACTCACCGACGACCCGGCTGGCTGGGATGTCTCGGTAAGTGATCCCCTAGTGCCCCTCGGGCGTCAGTGCTTTCTGCATCAGTTCCCCACACAAGCTCTAGCTGGTTACCCGATCGGGCATGTGAGACAGGGGTCTACGTTCTCCAGGGCCCCCCCATTGCCTGCAGCGACTATTTTTTTCATCCCAACTTTTTTTTTACCCACGTTCCGCCCTCACGCCATTGCTGGATTCTTTCCAAAAACGCACCAACAAGCACGCGACATATTGAGCAGTTGGTGCCTGTAGAAGGAAGTCCACTCGAAAAAGCACGATGGGGAGTCGGGCGGGAGCAATGTCAGCCATTCTGTGCTCCATCAAAAACTTTTTCCTAGGATTAGCGCGAGGAGCCAGAGATATCTACAGGTCCGTCGTAAACTGGATCAAGACGGCATACTCACCGTAAGCTAAGGCAAGGAAAAAAACCAAAGACTTGTCCTAAAAGCTGACTCCTTTGAAGGAATCCATACTACCGCGGCAACATCATCACCGGCACCGCCAGCAGCGGCCGGGCCCCCTTTGACGGCAACCTCCGGATGGTGATATCGCAAGTCTTCCAGCCCTCCGACTGGACCGTCATGGAAGTCGCCGTACTGAGGCCCTCCGGCCCGCCGGTCAAGGCCGTGCTCAAGGTCTTTGACCGCCGTTTCTCGCCATGCATTCAACGGCTGCGTGAACGCCGGGGACTCGGCGAGTGGACCCCTGAGTTTGAGGAGGAGTTCGTCGACTACGTCCGCCGGGGAGCCGCCAATGAGTACCTTTGGGGATCCGACAGCGACAGTGACGATGACAGAACCAACCAAGCTAGGGCCAATGGGGAGAAGGCCGATGAGGGGGAGGAGGAGGAAGATGAGGCGCCCATCAACCTGCTCGAGGAGGAAGTCAATCGCCAGACTCAGTGTGACGCGATTGCCAACGCGCGGTTGTGTCGTTTACAATCCCGAATGGGCGCGGAGAAGGGTATGAGGTTACCCAGGGCGCATTGCACGGTGCAAATACCGGTGGGAGGAAAGGTTGACAATCGTCTACTTGAGGTTTACGGTATTTTGATGGAGTATGTACCCGGCTTCAGTTGCGATGATACCGAATGACGACAGTCGAAAGAAGAGATGTGCCTGATGTGAATAAGCTGTCCATTTCGGCTGGATTCAAGGGCTGGACTCGTGGATGATGGAGGCCTATGGCTGGAACATGTAAGAGCACTAATTTGGACAGGACACAAGTGGTCAATAAGGCTTTAGGATGATGGAGTACATGTCGATTTCGGTTTAGCAGAGTTAGCTTGATAATCATAATGAACAGGGCTTTCGCGAACGTCTAATCAGCGGAGACATCCGCGCCAGAATCTTTCATGGCGACGCATAATCGATCCCCAAAGCTATGTTATGTCAGTGGTCGACTCCGTAGGCTGCGGCATATCCATACACTCAGGGCGAAGGCAAGCGAGCGATATCGAAGGCCTCTCCCTTTTGTGCTCCTCCACGCTGAATAGGTAGCCAAAGACGGTACCGATTATATGCGTCCGGTTTGTCGCCGTGTAGTTCGCCGTCACGTTGTCAGCGTCGCTGTATCCGGTGCCAATCATCCACGAAGATTCCGTGACCTCTGGCAGAAGCAGCGTCTTGGACCATTCCTCATCTTTGAGAAGCTCAAAGTCGTACTTTGTGCACACCAAGGATCAGCTAGCCGTCCTAAGAACGAAGAGGTTCAATTTAAAGGGGCGCGAGGGGCAGAAGGTAAAATTTCCAAGAGCCGAATTGGACAAGACTAAAGGCTACATACGCTCAATATCTTGAGAAAGGTAACCGAGGTACTCCTGCCAGTTTTCAGGCATATAGTCAGTCCATGGGCAAACTGGAACAAAGCGTCTGAGGGTTCGCTTATACCCCACTCCTCCGTGAGGCTGCTCTCGAGGTCTGCGCGGCAGTCGTCCGGAAGGAAGCCGCAATCGTTATCGACCGGCACCGTTGGGTCGACTTGATTGGTGATGAAATAGTGCTGGCAGACCCCCCACGAAAGATCCATGGCCTTTGGTGCCCCTTTATTCATCATGACTTCTGGTAGGGAGTATGTAATGGCAGTGAGCTCGGTGACTGAGTCCCCACCCTTTACCTCGGGGAATGGGACATCGCTGGCGATCTGGAGGTGGGCCTGGAAGACGTCGATGGGCGAGCTGGAGAGGGGCTTCGTCCAGTCGACACCGGGGTATATTGCTACATCGGCACGCGAGGTGTTCTTGAAGGCTGTCTGTACGTCTGTCCAAGGTATTTGGGCGTAGTTGGTTTTTTTGCGGAGGAAGGGGTCGTTGTCCACCGGGATCCAGGACTTCCCAGTGTTGACGGTGGGATCACTGAATCTCGAGGTCGCTCTGAGGATGAGTACCACAGCTGCCTCATAGAAGGCTTGTTCTGGGAGCATTGTGTGCAACATTGGTCCAGGAGTAATGGGGCCTGCGTGTTATGTGTTATCGAGCTGTGGGATGATCGATTCAACAAGCCATGCCTTTAGTGATCGGACCGAAAATCTTTCAAGCGTAGTATCAATAGGTAATTCTTTTGTGAGAATAATTTCAGTAGAAATCAATAGACGGCAAGTGCGAGGTTTTTATAATCCTCTGTCTCCTTGTCCCAATGGTGGTAGCGGAGCTTGAGTCGACTCACTAGCGGCACAGCAGCGACTAATTTTAACGAGCAGCTTAACACGAACAAGCTTTACCCACCCAATATAGCGTGTGACCATGAGTACCAGGGTTCTTGGACCCATTTCGGATTTGTAAGGGACACAGGGGTTGGTGATGTCGGTCCAACTTGTGCCAAGGACGGCATGATGTGCCGAAACCAACAGTTGCCAGGAATCGACTCAACGAGGACTCGAGTAGAAAGCTATTCGGGCGGAGAACCCCAGGTCTTGCCTCGTTTGTCTAGGTAGGTATGGATGTTGACACGAATGCGAGGGTGGCGCCGGGAGGCGCTGAATCTGCTACCAACGTGTGTGGCATCGCTATCGCATGGCTGATGGACGAGGAGTAAGAGAACGAGACATCAGAGTATAGTGGACGCCAGATTTCGAAATTTCTCCTAGATTTGTTTAAAATTCGACTTCACTTCAATTCGTGGAACTAGAACAACTAGCTCACAGGCTCAAATAGGTGTAGATTGATGCCTCTGAGATTCTCAACTCTGTCAGCATCAACACGCACAATGTTCTCATCAGGCTCGGCAACCTCAACACTCTCTAGACCGATACCCTAGGGCTCCTCATCAAGCTCAACAATTCTAGAGTAGACAACGAGTACCTCCAGCAAAAGGCCAAAACAATTACTTCAGAGTCGATATCAGAGCAGAAAACACGTCAAATAGGCGATCATCAAGTATCAACCATAGAACCAATAGACCAATAACAGTGAACCCTCATTTTCCACATCCGGAAGCCCCCTGAGATGAGACTTTGCTTTTTGGTGCCGTTAGATTGAACAACTTGATTAGATTGGTGTTTCTGCTTTACTAGCTTGGGGGATCAACCTGAATAGGTTCGAGCTTCGAGGAAATCATTCAATTCAACAACATGATAGTAGCACTATGCCCCAAACTTATAATATTATTCTAGATCAGTGACCTTAATGAGTGTATTCAATACCGCGCGATTGTGGGTGAGTTGCTGTGACAGGCTGAGCGACAAGCCGCCTGACCAGGTCCGTGTGTGACCACAATATGCCTGAGCCCTGAGCTGAGGGAGAAGAAAGCTTCCCTTTCCTTTCGAGACCAGCCTAACCTCCCTCCAATATCAAGCTATACTCAGCACTTTCATGGCAGCCCAGCTCCGCATCAAATTAGCCATTGGTGCCAGACTCGCTCCTGTCTTCAAGCGAAGGACATGCAGGACCATACAAGCGATCCCATTCATTACAGGAAAGAAATCTCTTCCCACCTGGCAAGGCAGACAGCTATATATTTGACCGACTTGAAATCACTGTGCGCGTTAATTGTCATGTACATTAATGTCCAAGGCAACTACAGATCTATGTATCTCTCTTATTGTTCTACGGTTTCTTATTGGAGAAGCACCTCGCCAACCGCACCGCGGTTACATTCTCTCGCCTGACCCAGGGCCGTTTGACCTGATGATGTCCGCGCATTCACATAAGCACCGGCGTCTACAAGCAATCTTGACTTCTTGACGGACTCTTGTCCCAGGCCCAAATATGGCACAGACGGGATTCCCGCCATCAGGTGCAGCGCAATCTCGACGTCGTTGTTTCTAGCGCTGATGTCAGCGCCTGCCGCAAGCAGAATTCGGAATTGTTCTGTGTACCCATATGAAGCTTCGGGGTGTAATGGAGTTGCTCCATCGTCATCGACCGCCTTGAAGTCCACGACGGACTCGAGCATTAGTCGCACCAGCTCCGCCGAGCTCGCAGCCGCTTGATGCAGTAGAGCATCACCCCTAGGCCGCTGACAGAAATTCCGGCGGCCTTTTCTACAAACAATTGACCGAGGCTGGTGCATCTGAGAGTGCCTGGTAAAGGCCCGTGTCTCCGATATTGTTGACAGCGTTCATGTCGGCGCCAGCAAACCACCTGGACCACTCCAAGGAACCCCTGGCTGGCAGAAAGATCCATATCAGCCTGTAACCCGGTAAGTGACTAGCAGAGACAGCCTGGTCTAGGACACGATCCGGCGCCCTTTTCTTTCTCTGCGTCCCATTGAGATTGCGGATTCGGTAGCTTCGCCCCGGGTGCTTTTCCGACTTGAAATCGAAATCTCGGAGGTCTGTCTGGTCTGTATGGCAGTAAGAAACAGCAAGAAAGTGGCAGTATGGAGATGATCCTATCCCTCTTAGAAAAGATCCCTAGGATTGATCCCTTTACGACTGTGAACTTCATCGTGTACCGGAAATTCTGGTAGACCCGAATAAACGTTGCACTTGAGCGGCGAACAGACTCGATGTGACTGGTCTTTGGCGCAACTCTGTTCGCAAACACTTAGTAGCATTGGAAAGCTCCACGTCAGATGTTAGACTAGGCATTCACTGCTGCCCTGCGTTAAAATATTAAGATGGACATACTATGGACTCCTCAGGACGGTTTGCATACAGTTCTTCCAATAAATTAGATACCTAAAACAGACTCGAAGAAAGGCTTCATCCTTTCGACCCTGCCTTGTTTGTGTATATGAGCTGTGGGAGGCGCCGAACCTGCAAACTCTCAATCTGTGTTCAATTGATTATTATCATCTACCCTATTGAAATGTCTTTGAGCTTAGACGTCATCATCTCGGCAGAATTCGGTGCCGTTCTGGGCTACGTTGAGGCCGAAGCGAGAAATAAGAACGCCTTCGAGCGACATCTGTGGCCGTAGAGATGCTTCTCTCGGCTCAACGCCTGGTCGGTCCTTGCACTGAGTCTTATCTTGCTCATGGGAGTACCAACTTATAAGGCTGCGTTGAAGACGCTAGATGACTTATTCCCCTATGGCCTGTTCCGAGGTTCTCGTCGAGGGCACATGCTTGACACTATCTTCTATCTCCACCTCAAAAACTGGACATACAACATGGACGGCGACGGCCAGAACCCCTCCCACACGGAACCGCTGCGCAGCGGGCTGATGCCGCACTCTCTGAGTCGTAAGACCTTTCCCACCGCCCTCGATCCCAGCTCATCCAATACGGCAGTTTGAGCCGCCGAAAACGGCTCAAATTTGACTGGAAGCTCGACTATGAGGCTGTTTGTGGCCGTCAGCCACTTGTTCCTGTCTTCCGCCATGGCGGAAGACTAGACGTCCGACATCCCGCGCGTTACAGAAAGCGTTGGGACGCCAACGTTGAAGACCTTCCTCTGGGTACTTGTCTCTGAAATCAGCGCCATTAGCATGGCCAAAATTATCAGTGCGGTGTGCCAAGTCACCTTGGGCCTTTCTCTGGCTGGCGGCGCTGGTCTTGCGTTTGTTCAGCGCGGCATTCTCCCTTAGCGGAGAAACTCTCGACTCCATGTCATCGGAATCGGTCGGTGACAAGGCATATGACTTCCGGATTCACTGTCCGCAGTTGGAGGAGAATTTCATGATCATCACCGGCGCTCCATCCCTCGTCCTTCAGTTCTTCCACCATTACGGACACCCCGTGCGGGATAGACCTCGTGAAGTCATCCACCTTATTCTAAATGTAATTGAAAAGGATATACAAACTTTATAAGGTCTTTAGTATTAGCAGTAAGTTGATATATCCGGCCCTCTATAAGATTTATAAAACCGGTCCTTTATTAGTTTTACAAGTTTCAAATGGCCACCTTTTTGTATCTTTGTATTATTTTACCACCATCGTCATGCTTACCAGCTTGATTCCCATCGGACTTGTCTGTTCCACTTTGAGGGTGTCATCCGCCGTATCATCGATGCGGGTTTGTTATCAACTCTACGTTGTTCTGATGATCTGTATCGCTCGGTTCCCCTCCACGGCAGCAGCGTCTACAACGGAGGAGGCAATCGCGTTGGAAATAAGGCGCGGCCTTATTTACGTAAGGGGGCAAGATCACGACCGCGCTATCTTGTTAAGGAACAAGCCTGACGGGCTTGGAACGATCAAGGCTACCGTGGCGGTGACCTATCATGGCCGCTAGGTAGACGGGCATAAGTATATGACATATATGCTCCACTGATCCCATTACTACAAGGATGCGGAGGAGTTTTCCCTACACAACTCGTCCGAGCAGCTGCTGGCGAAATAACTGGGATTGACTTTCTGTTGACTTTTGCTCAACTCACGCGGACTCCTATCCACCTAGCAGAATATGCGACGAAATCATTGGCAGAAAGAAACAGACGAAGAGATTTGTGATTTATTCAACTCAACAGGGTAGATCAAGCTAATTGAAGGTTATTCAGACCCCTCAGTTGAACTATGAAAGTTCCTTTCCATTGATATGTCAGTATATGAGCTTCTCACCATCGTGTTTCCATCACATACGACCATACCCACTGGAGAACTCGGGATCCCGTCCGCTCTCCCATCGATAAACCAGTGAGGGCCGGATCAGTAGTTGGGTCGGTGACGACCAGCGAATACCTGGTGTTGTATGTTTTTGATTTTTGAGGTTTTTGCTCCGCCATCACGATGGGGTTGAATGGAGACCCGCCTCCGCTCGTTAGCCCACCCACACAGCTGTCGTTCGAACAGCCACTAGAAAACTAAGAAATGTTCCGGTTTCTGAAGCTCAAAGATTCACTTTTTAATTTGAAGCTATGTTATTTGACTTGTTGTGGTGGTCTTTTGGAAGACGGAACCCCGATTGGAAAGGATGAGACTGAGATGATCAGCGTCTTCCCATTTGCCCTATGAGTTTGGGTCGCCAACAAACAGATCATCGATGTCTGCTGACAAGCGAGCTAACCTTGAGGCTTATAGCCCCATCAAATTTCTTAAAAAACTCTTGCTGTACTCGTGCTTGTGGTCGCAGATGTCTTCGGAGGAGATCTTGCATGATGCGTGGCTAGAGGATCACTAGCAGTAGTACACGAGACTAGCGACTTCGACGTACACCCAACATTTCCGACAGATTTCCGACACATTACAATTATTAGAAATTGGATTGGCGAAGTAATAACTTGGCGATGGACCGCTGAAGGCAAGAGTAGAGTTACTGGGACTACGAGACGAACTTGAAGTCGTCGACAATCCGCTTGAAGGCGTAACCCATCGAAGAAAGGGAGATAGCTCTTGAAGACGATTCTCAAGTCAAGGTAGTTGATGACTGGCTGATGGTCACGATGGTAGTTCAAAGTTCCACGGGACTGTCTACGAAGCTTTCCCAGATGTGGCAGATAAAGTAGTGTAGGCAGTTGTCCATTGGTCCGTGGTATTTCATGCTTGGCTACTTCAAACGTTTATTGCCTCTGGTATCGACGTTGATGTCGATGTTGGGGTGGCAATCTTAAAGCTTCCCTTCGAAGTGCTGGTCGTTGTCTGAGCAATCTTCAGCCTTCAGAATTTTCTGTCCATGGGAATTGAAAAGTTCAGGCCGCTGCGCTTGATGAAGACATTGAGGACGTTGATGTTGGGAGAGGTGTGGTCATCTTAAAGATGTTTACATGTACTGGATCTTGTTGACTAGTCATAATCATATCGCGTGTCGGAACTAAAATGATTGCATTGTGTGTCTATCATAGACGTCGGGGTCGTGGGTTCACGACACTTGGATGCCTCCCTTTCTTACACCTAAGCCGTCAGCGATGCCATCCACTTTGGCAACAAATTTGGTGCCTGTTGCCACTATTGTTCGTAATGCCGATTTGATACAAGGGCTGATTTATACGTAAATATCAAAGGGGCTCTTGCCCCCCCACGTCCGGACCCCCCGACCCCCGGGGTTGACTGCGCTGGCTCTACCTGCAGTGCCGGCCCTACCTAGGGTACCTGATATTTAACCGTTGACTTGCAGCTCTTGAGAACGCTGGCCAATAGTTGTGTAAGGATGAGGGGCAAGAAAGTTTCTCGTAGAAATGAGCTTTGCTCAATTAAAGTAAATGGCAACCAAAGCACATAGGTAGTAATTCCAAGGAGTCAAAATTTCCACTGCTTGTTTGCCTTGCTAGATGATGAGAGATTGCTACCTATGCTGGCTATGATTAGAACTCGTCAATAGTCCTGCTGAATCCTTCGCCGAAAAACAGGAGCGAATCGTACGCTGGTATCTATGTGTCGTGGAGCTAAGCTGCCATGAAAATGATGCTGCGGTGAGCACCGAAGACCCTGGGGAATACACCGGGGATGGAGCATGGTCTCGAAAGTATCCGTGGAAAGGAAAAGAGAAGCCCCAGTCCCAAAATCGGATATTGAGCGAACCCCGCCAAGTCAATGCCCCCGGAAAGCGCGGCCAATTAAGCTAACTCGCAGTGACAGGGCAGTGGCCGCCCGAGACCTCCGAACCCTTGTGTCCCGTCTCCCGTCCAAAGAGGTACCTTTGTGTTGACTATCCTACCTCCACCTACTACCCAGGCCAACTTCCGTTACATGCAGCACGCGACACCCTCGAGAGGCGGCAAACGAACACCTAGGAACACTAAGAGATAAATGCAGACGCCATGAACAGTTTACGAGCGGGGAGACCAAAGTCTCCTCTGTTCCTTGTCCTCGCCGCAATCCTCGTCTTCGCAGTAGCTGTCGAGGCCTCGTACGGCGATCGGTTGCCAGAGTTCCGAGAATGCGTCCAAGTTGGTGCCCACCACGCGCGCGCGCGCGCTCGCGAATAGCCTTGCTTGAGAATCCCTCTGGCCTGTTATGACTGACATGCTGCTCTGCGCTCCCCCGCGATCCAGGTCTGCCACGATGAGAACTGTGCTCCAGGCAAAGACGCCACACCAATACGTACGTTCCCCCTTCCTCTCGCGCAACGCAAGATGAGCAAGAAACTAAAAGATTTCCCCCCTACAAACAGCCTTCCATCGCCGCCTCCTCCTCTGGACCTGCGCCTCCGAATGCGACTACACATGTCAACATATAATTACAAAGGAGCGTCTCGCTGCCGGAGAGAGCGTGGTGCAGTTCCATGGCAAATGGCCCTTCCCCCGTTTCCTCGGCATTCAGGAGCCTGCCAGTACGATCTTCAGCTTAGGGAACTTATGGGCTCACCAAAACGGCTGGCGCAAGCTTCGCACTGTCATCCCTGCGTCCTACCCTTTGCGGCGCTGGTATGAGTGGCTCGCCGGTATGGGCATCGCCTCCTGGACCTTTAGCGCAATCTTCCACACCCGCGACTTCGTGGCCACGGAGCAACTTGATTACTTCGCGGCGGGCGCGAGCGTGTTGTACGGGTTGTATTACACTGTAGTGCGCATCATACGCCTGGATCGGCCGACGCCGCGCCGGAGGTCAGTGTTGCGCGCGTGGACACTGCTGTGTGTGTTGCTTTACGCCGGACACGTTGCCTACTTGAAGGGTGTGCGATGGGATTACACATATAACATGACGGCGAATGTCATTATTGGTGTGATTCAGAACGTCATGTGGTTGTGGTTCAGTTTGAACAAGTACAGGCAATCACGGAGGACCTGGGCCATCTGGCCGAGTATCGTTGTCGCAGTCGTCGTCATGGTCATGAGTTTGGAGCTCTTTGACTTCCCACCTGTGTGGGGTGCGTTGGATGCACACAGTTTATGGCACTTGGGCACAATTCCGCCTACGGTACTGATGTATAAGTAAGTCGGCCATGCCACTAGGCTAGGCTTACGGGAACGACCGCTAACACTTGCCCAGCTTCCTGATCAAGGATGCACAGGATGATATGGCGGGCAGTGAGAGGCTCAAGTCGTAAGCTGGCGTGAGTTTCGAGCGATTTGATCAATTCAAGGCACATAGCCCAGGCGGCAAGAGACCGAAACCAACGGAACAGGAAGATACTGCTGAGCCGCGGGTTGGATGCCATCCAGGCGGCTTCAATGAGGTATGAAATTACGGGATTAGGCTGCGAAGGCAGAGCACCAAAGGACAAGATATCGTGTAATCATGGCGAATCAATTAGGTTTAATGGTCTATTTTGCCATGTTGTCCGACCTTGAGTTGGCCGGTATAGTAGAGAATAATATGTAACGAGTATGACAGCTTTCTCTGGCAGCAGTGGTAGTGTGGCATCGTTTCCCGTCCACGCAATTTCAAGTTTCCTATACGCAAACAATTTCACGCCTTGGTACAACCCCTGATCAACATCCACCAGATGTCTTATACACCGACAATCACAGTCTCGGTCTTGAAGACCTGAATAGCACCATCACCCCAGATGCCGATGACGGACAGCAGGAAGCCGACCGAGGCAACGGCAGACTGCACGAGCTGTATCTTTCTGAAACCATCGACCTCGCCGCGAATCTCCTCGCCGTTGAGCGCCTCCTCCTCCTCGGCTGCAGCCGCCGACTCGTCGCCGCTCGCGCTGCCGGCGCCGTCGCTGTGCGTGTCGCCGAGGACCTCGTAGCTGGCCTCCATGCGAGCCTCCTGACGAGCGATGCGGGCGGCCTTGCGCGCCTGCTCGCGCTCGCGGCTGGCCTGCCGACGGGCGGCGATGGCCTCCTTGGACGACTCGGGGGAGCTCCTGAGGACGTACGGTGTGATTTGCTCGGCGAGGCCCGAGGTCAGGCCGAGGACGGAGGCGTAGACGAGGTAAGGGTGGCGGAAGGCGCGAGGGGAGAGGAAGAAGGCGAGGAGGAAGGAGGTCGCGGATACGCCGGTAAGGAGGCGCAGACGGGCGGTCGCGCCGGGATAGAGATTCTTGAAGGCGCGGAGGGCGTCGGAGGCGGAGGGGAGGGAGAGGATCGAGGGGACGGTCACGGTTGAGAGGGAGTAGGAGAGGCCCTGTTGCGCGCGCGCACGATGTTAGCAGGGGCCATTTTGAATGAAGCATTTCACGATGGGGGGCTTGGTTCTCGTGGGCATCCCGGAGTCCTGAATGCGGGGAGTGGAGGGGTGAGGGGTGGATGGGGAAGGGGATAGGTAGTGGCGTCACTGATGACCCGACGGCGAGCCGTGTTGTGCACTGGGAGCGGTGAAACATACAGTCAAAAGACCGAGGGAAACAGTTCCCACGAACTTCAGGAGAGAGACTCCTTTGGAAGCCATGGTGGCTGGTGCGGATTCGTAAGGGTCAGGAAGGAGGCGTTAAAGTCGGAAATCGATGGCGGAAGGATGTAAAGTCGAAGTTCGTGTGGTATAGGGATGTGACGACTGAGGTCATCAAACTGGTGTCGGTCGGTTGGTCGGGTCGCTGCTTCTTGCTGCTGCTGACCGGGAGGCGGGGCGGGGAGGGGCGGTATCACTCTTTGTTGGACCGGATCTGACCTGGGTGGTTCACGGCCTGACCAGTCAGGCGTCACAGGATGGTAAGATGATTTGGAGGGAATGGCCGGATTGAATGCTTCACGCTCGTTGACGACGTTCCCGCCTTGCCGCTTGCCGCTCGCTCGCGCGGAAATAGTCAGAAAAAGAGAGGGGCGGCTGTTTCTTTGCTACCTAAGGTAAGTACCTACCTAGGTTGGGTGGTTGGGTGGAGTTTCTGTGTCCGTATGGGGGACTAGGTAAGGCAAGATGAGCTTAAATTATCCGTGCGCCATGCATTAGTCCCGAAGCTGGCCCGAGGTTGCACAAATCAACTTGGCTTGCTGGCATAAAAAGACCTGAGTGCCCCCCGTCAGTCTAGCTACGATGATTCCCTCTGTCCGGCGACCTTTTCAAGGACCAAAACGCCGTCCTCGAGAGCGGGGTTTCTAAGCCATTCTTTCTTCAATCTTCTGCCTCTAGGACAATGGAAACCAGTTGGCTTGCTGTGAGCGCGCTCATCTTTGGAAATCCGGCTCAACCTTCTCAGCATTGGAAACCTCTCTTCGGTAATGTTTGGAGCAGCTTGCTATCCCATTTGACGAAAGAGAGGTCAGGAATCAGTCACGTCTATAAATTTTATATGCACGTTCCTTGTTCTCAACTTTAAGCCTCATCCGCAAGAGGCCTCCTTGCGTGGATCAGGTAGTTGTTCACGATTAGATATGCTCGAGGTAGCGTTGCGAAGAGAGGAAAACCCAGGCTTGATCTCAGCGGAGGGAGACCTACAGGGATGTGTAGGCGTGGATTCTCCTATCCTTCAAGTCATTCCTAACTTGAATAAGAAAATCGTTGACTTCTTCCTGTGTCCATTTGAGCGCCCCGGTCAAAGGAGCCATACTCCATCCCTTGATGCCCTCGAGAAAGTTCTCGAGATTCCACTGACCAAGCTCCTTGTAGTGGGGATCTTTTGGCCACGAATTGAGGGGCCATTTGCCCTTGACCAATTCTCCGTCAACAAACCCAACTTCCTTGAGCAAGGTTACCAGATTTAGAATATTTACAAAAGGGCGACCGAAAATATTGCAAGCCTCCTCGATCTTGTCCACACACTATGAGAACGTGTGTTCGGGTGTCAACGTTCCATCGTCACAGTCAGGCCTCATGTGACCTTCAAATAGTTCGACATAGCCACCAGGTGTAAGGTTACTGTAACACATCAGCATGGAGACGCAATATAGGGGTTCCAGAAACTAATCACTGAAAGGTCTTTTGGGAAAACTTCTTCCAATCGCGAATACTGGAGGTCATGCCAAGGAAATTTATGTAATCAAACGGCTGACTGAACGTCCAAGGCTCTTCAGCATCATCGACCTCGAATTTGACGTTTGGTGGAACACCAGAGCGTCGTCAACAAGATGAATATGTTGCAGTTCGAGGGAAGCTCATTCGTACAATGCCGTAGGCACTGGTGTAAGACCAATGCCGATTACCTATTGTAAACTTAGCATGTCTTGAGTGAATGTGCGGTCGGTTCCTTATCTCGGCCTCGGGGTGTTCACCTCCAAAGTCAATAGCCCACAATCCGGTTCCAGTTCCGATGTCAAGGACACGTTGAGCTATGGAGTTCTCATTCGGGGGTGCAAGGCCCAACTTGTAGTCGAGGATGAGTAGATACAGGTTATGCTGAAGATCTGCAATGAACGTGAAATGGCGTAGAAGTAGAAACGCAAAAGTGCGACCTACCAAACCTGCCATTCTCCTTGTCATCATCTGGCTATTTGTGTTCTGCCTTGATCGGTTTCAGAACACCCATGCGGCTAGAGAATCGGAAGGGCTTACTGCCTTCTTTGTACTTGTGGTACGTCCTCCCATTATCGATACGATGCTGAATGATAGAGCTGTTCAGACTTGCACTGGAAGACGCAATGCTCTGGATTCGTTAAACCATTTCTCACAGAACAGAGCGCTGCGGCATAGCATAGACTTACAGTTGCCATATCAGATGAGGCATCATCGCTGAAATATTAGGCGATGAGGACTGAGCGGGTGCTTGTTTACAAGATATGGCTTACATCGTCGGCCGCCTTCACGGGACCATCATCAGGCACGGGATCGGTCGGATTGTGCGATATAGTGCAACAAGTTCCGTGAGAATTGGTGTGTAGCTTGAAAAGGTACCTACCTAGTCTGCTCATTGAATGCGGCGCAGTTGAAACGAGGGGCGTGACGGCTGCACAAACGATTTTGGCATATCTGTGGACTGAAAATGATACCCCTCTTCTTGTATGGAGACATTTATGCATGTTGGTGGCAAAGATATAACTTGCTTCCAACGAGTAGGGTGCCTTACGCACGTATCTTTACTAAATGAGCTGTGTCCAATTGCTCAAACTGAGGATTTCCATCGTTGAGGGATAGCTCGCGAGGTAATCATTCGAATTCTACAAGAGCACACAACTGGCCGAGCCTGTAAAGTAGCATGAATCGATCGAGATGATGTGTCTCTACTCATTGAAGTAACGTGTGCACCTAAATGAGCTTGAAAACGATATATTTCAATGCCCATCCATACATGCAGTACCTCATCAATTGGTACATCATTCTGTCGACAGCTTGACCTTGGCTACTCTTATGTTCCCGGCTCCTCAGTCTGCTTATTTTCGGGTTTCCTCCCGTAAACCGAGTAGCTTCCTCTCGTGTTAGCATCGATATGACTTCAACTTGAAAGATCAAACTGACATTGGCCAATAAGCATGGATGTTTCGATTCCTCAAGTTGGACCGCACCTCTGCCAGGAAGATGAGGACCTCCTCGTTCGTCCAATTCAGCGCTCGGGTGTATGGCGCCAGAGTCCAAGCCTCGAGACCCTCCATGAAGTTGGCATTCGTCCACGATCCGATCTCTTTGTAATGAGGGTCCTTGGGCCATTCGTTGATGGGCCACTTGTACGTCTCGATCTTCACATCGACGAACCCGGCTTCTTCCATGACGGACACGAGAGCAGGGATGTCTACGAAAGGTCGCCCAAAGATTTCCATGGCCTCCCCAATTAACCTGAGCCATTTCGACATTGCATGATCTGACCTGAGGGTACCGTCGTCGCAACGAGGATTAAGATCGCATTCTTGGATTTCTAGATATCCGCCGACTTCCAAGTGCCTAAAGGGTTTAGTCTATGCCTGTCGCCCATGCTGGCAAGACTTACTTGAAGGCTTGTTTGAATAGCTTGGACCAATCAGTTACGCTCATGGTCATCATCCGTGTATGGATGTAGTCGAAGGGTATCGAATACGTCCAAGGTTCCTCGACGTCGTCGACTTCGAATCTGACGTTTGGAGGAATTCTACGACGGGTCAGCTTTTCGAATCAATTTCAGGAACCCCAGGTGTCGTAGACGCACGCTTCTGTCTGAACAGGCGAAAGATCCACGCCGTAAACCTAGACCCTCGCATCAATCCTTGCCCAGGGACACAGCAGGAGAGGCCCTTCTTCACATACCTCGGCCTCAGGGTGCTCATCAGCAAATTCAATTGCCCAAAGACCAGTACCTGTACCGATATCAAGAACTCGTTTAACACCAGAGGCTTTTTCACCAAGGGGCGCGAGGCCAAGCTTGTAGTGAAATGTGAGGAGGAACAGATTATGTTGTAGATCTGGACGTTGCATGAGATAAATCACTAGATGAGGGACTAGAGAGGAAGACAAACCTAATCGATCGGCCTCTTTCTCGTCATTGGGCAAATGATATTCTGCACTCGTTATGAAACCTTTCATTATGTACAAATGGCAAGTCTTGTAAATAGAGTCTTACTGCCATCTTTGTATCTGTGGTAAGTCCTGCCGTTCTCGAGGCGATGTTGGAAAATGGAGCTGGTCAAGCTGGTCGTTGATGACGCAAAGCTCTTGATTAAACATCAGAACTTGCCCCGGGGCCGGATTCGAACAATGAGAGGGGAAACCTACAGATGCATGGTCTGATGAAGTATCGTCCCAATCCTGATCGAGTTGTCAGAAGCCATCAGTCCACTGCGAGGCTGAAGATGTGTTACCCTCTCTTCGGCGATGATGACTGGACCTGCGCCCGTAGGGCGATCGACCTCATCGTTACACATTGCGTGGGCTTGAACAGAGGGCCCGCTGTAGATGTACAGAGCACGTTTGCCCGACACCGAAGAAACAACTTCTGTGGTTTTCCGGCCCTGTGTTGTGGCTCTTTATGAGTTTAGGGGGTGCATGTTTTACCCCTCTCCTTGGCCAGGAATCATTACTGCATGTTGGCGGCACAGATGCAGCTTGCTTGTGGAGACGGAATTCATGCTTCCCAAAAGATCACTCACGTACGTATCATTTCTGCGACGAGATCGATAGGTCAGGTATACGACATTCACAGGTCCTGTGGGTGCTTGGAGGGTCGATACTGGGTGCATTCCCTTGTGATACCCAATCGTTCGCTCCGCCGCGCCGCGGAGTTGAGCCGCTGCATAGGCTGACTGAAGAGATGATGTTGTGTCTGGGAAGGTCTTAACGTGTTGTCGCTTTGCATCGTACGACTTGGCAAGTAAAGACTCTTATCGTCAAGGCAGGGTTTGGAAAGTACCATTCAATAATTCTCGGCCGCTTTTCTTTTTTCGGTCTCACGTGGCAAAGGGTTTCGATTCCAATATGTAGCCAGAACATCATTGCAATGTTCTTGATGGAGATACTACCGCCACCAGGTTCCTGGGATGCCAATGTGGAAGACGTTGCGGACCCGAGCTTCTGGGGGTTCCATTCTCCTGGGTCTCGATACCAAACGAAAAGTCAGTCAGAACATAACGATGCGCCCGATCCATGTATGACTACAAGCAGGGCTCGTATTTGTTAATAACATATCGAATGAGCGCCGCATTTTGGTGACCAACACATGACGAGGACAACGTTGTATAGGTGACTGGGAAAGGTGTTTACGAGGAGTGTGTCGTCGGTCCGGGGACAGAGGAAACCGCGCTAAACTAGGCCCCGTGCGGGAGGGTTAGGTGCGTTTGGAGACTGGAGGGATCCCGAGGAAAGAGACTGCTTGCTTCTCTCTTTCCTCTGTTCTCCCCTCCACCAATCAGCTGCTCCTTCCGGGACCTGCATGTTCCCCGTGATCGAGGCCGACTTTTGGATGAGTCAGCAGCGGAATAAATAATCATTTGGGTTTGGCATGTCGCAGAGGGCTCCGCACTCGTTGTCTACCACCTTTCGTTGCCGAGGTCCAAAGGTTCGACGCGCTACCAGGGCTGCTATCTGAGCTGCGCTTTGCCGTGGCTGTTGCATCACAGAACATCGCACCCACCGGACTCTTTTTGCGTTCTTCTTTCTTGTGTAACAAAAGTTGGTGCGAACCCAGCCTCCGGTGTCTTTGTGCAGCCAACGGATCCACCAAACCTCCATCGTCAACGCCCCCAACAACCAGAATCTATCACCTTAATCTCGTGGGAACAGGGTCCCACACGTCATCATCTCGAACCACCTGTGATACCTTGTTCATTGTCTCTGTCCCATTCTCATCATCCACACTTAGTTCCTGCAAAAATGCCTGTTCCCGAGTCCGAGTATTTGAGTCCGGTCTGGAAGGACGGTATTTTTAGTGAGTGGCTTCCGGATATCTTTTGTCTGCTGCACCATCGTCGAAACTAACTGTGCTGTGCAGACAACAGAGTCGCCTTCGTGACCGGCGGCGCTGGAACCATTTGCAGTGCTCAAACTCGCGCTCTCGTCCGTCTCGGAGCAAATGCTTGCATCATCGGCCGCAATGTCGAAAAGACAGAGGCCATGGCAAAGGACATAGCCACTGCCAGACGTGGTGCAAAGGTCATCGGTATCGGCGGCTGTGACGTGAGAAATGTATACGCTCTCCCACTACACATGCCTTCAAGACATGCCGTAGCTAACAATTTATATCTAGCCCCAGAGCCTGCAAGACGCCGCAGATCGATGCGCCAAGGAGCTCGGCAGCATCGACTTTGTCATGTAAGCGCCCGATTCACATGGGTCTCATTCCGAGCTGACTGATGACTACCTTACCGACAGTGCGGGAGCCGCTGGCAACTTCATCGCACCCTTGTCCGGCATGAGCCCCAATGCATTCAAGGCGGTAATCGATATTGATGTCTTGGGCACTTTCAACACTATCAAGGCTACCATTCCGTACCTAGTAGAGTCGGCAAAGAAGAACCCCACGCCCAGCCGAAACGGTCTGACTGGAGGCCGCATCATTTTCGTCTCTGCGACATTTCACTTGACAGGTATGCCGCTGCAAGCACATGTCTCAGCCGCTAAGGCGGCCGTCGATGCTCTGATGGCATCAGTCACTTTGGAGTACGGCCCATTCGGAGTCACGAGCAACGTGATTGCCCCCGGGCCGATAAAGGATACGGAAGGCATGCAACGGCTGTCCAGCAGCAAGCAGGACCAGGCCAAGGCCGACGCCGTGGTCCCGCAGGGCCGGTGGGGCGTAGTCCGGGACATCGCCGATTCCACCGTCTACCTGTTCAGCGACGCCGGCAGCTTCGTTAACGGCCAGGCGATCCCTGTTGACGGTGGTGCCTGGAGACGCCAAGGTGCGCTAGCGGTTGGTACAGACGAAGACATGAGATATCCGGATTTCCTCCTAAAGGGAGAAATTTCAAAGCACGTTAAGAGCGGCCGAAAGACGGAGTCGAAGCTGTAGCTGGCGCCGAGAAATCGACCGTGCTGGGGTCGAACTGACTACCTCCAGCAACTCCGCGGACAAAGAAGAATCAGCGACCGGGGGTGGAGAGATTTCAAGTTGACATCGTAAGGGCGTGGTCTTTGACCCGCTCAGTGATTATTAGATAGGTATTCAAAGATCTGCGGGAAATGGCACTGTATAGAACAAACCAACAGTCGTTTACAGAAACAACTAGGTTCTTCTGGCATTCTGTATCCTACCTTGCGTTTACTCAATCACAACTCTTAAATGAAGCGGCTATCGGCACCACAAGAATCAGTGTAGAGTGAGATCCTTCTCCCAGCCGCCGACAGGCCGAGCCGCCCCGCGGACGGGAGCGGAGATGCTGCTGCAGCACACTTTTCTCACCGCGTCGGTCACCAAGCCAACTAAGGTAATTAGCGTCTTCCAAAGACCGCACTGGGTGCGGCGCACTCAAGCTTTTCGAGCCAAGCCGGCATCCACACCCCTCGACCTGCAGGTGATAGCTTGCACCTCGGGCGGGGCCATCAGGGACAGCTTGACTAATGGGCCACACGAATTGCTACCTATCTTCGCTGGTGGCATGGTGGCATGGTGGAGGAATCCATTCCCGCCCTGCCGCCGTCGCCCGCCAGAGATGCAAGCACCCTCCGCCCATGGTTGCAATGAAATCGCAACAGCTGCAGAGTGATAGGACATGGCCGTGGTGGGTGATGATCCATGGGCCTAGTGCCTTTTTGTTTTCGATCCTCTTTCTTTTACCCCTCCTTTATCGCCAACCATCGACTGGTCCGGAGCGAGCAAGCCGGTCGAAACCATGTTGGCACTGAGGAATGGTACATTTGTCGCCAAGCAATGTGGGCTGCAGGATTTCTTTGAAGGCGACTCCGTCTTCTTGAAGCGTAAAAGAGTCCGACTGCCAGTCGTGACATAAAAAGGCCGGCGATACCCGGTCTCGCGAGAGATCTCGACGCGACTCTCGATCGCCCTAGTCTACTCAACTCCTGCAAGGTTTATCTCAACCGCTGACGGGCCATTGCCTTCATTGCTTTCTTTCTCCTAGGGATTGCGGCCGGGCTTCAATTGTTTCTCACCAGCAGCTTTCACCCTCCGGCAGGTACTGAACTTGTCCATAGCAGACAGTGCAATTGGGCAATACTGAGTGAGTGGTTTCTACATTTCCTCATACACAACAACCCGCAAAGTCAGCAGACTTTACCATCAACAACAGGACTAACACCCCCAGAGCCCAATATCACATCGCAAACATGGGACTCAAGCACCTCCTGGCATTGGGCTTGCCCATCGTGCCCGCTGCCGCAGAGACCGTCCTCGGCATCTACGTCTTCCACCGCCACGGCGACCGCACGGCGAAGAAGACGCCCCCCGTCCGCTTCACCGATCTCGGCGCCTACGAGGTCTTCATCTCCGGCCTGGAATACGGCCGGCTCTACGCCCGCAACAACGCCACCTCCCAGATCCGCAACTTGAGCGCCAATGACGTCCTCCCGGAGCAGCTCTCCGTCACCTCCCCCGTCGACGTCGTACTGCAGTCCTCGGCCAACGCCTTCCTCCAGGGTTTCTACCCGCCCTCTGGCACCGTCGAGGCCCTCGCCAACGGCTCCAGCGTCGAGGCGCCCCTCGGCGGCTACCAGTACGTCCCGGTCAACGCCGTCGCCACGGCCTCCACCAGCACGAACGCCGAGAGCAGCGAGTGGCTCCAGGGTGGCAGCGGCTGCGGTAAAGCCGTCGTCAGCTCAAACAACTACTTCTCCTCGCCCGAGTACGCCGCCCTCGACGCCCAGTCCCACGACTTCTACCAGAGCCTGCTGCCCGTCATTAACGGCACCTTTGGCGCAAAGGCCGCCACGTTCGAGAACGCCTACACAATCTTTGACCTCATCAATGTCGCGAGGATCCACAATGACAGCATCCCCTCGTCCTCCCTGCTCACCAACGCCACCTTCCGCACGCTGACGGACTACGCAAACATCCACGAGTGGAACCTCGCGTACAACGAGAGCGACCCCATCCGCGCCATCGCCGGCAGTGTCCTGGCCGGCCAGATCCTTCAGGCCCTCAATGCGACGCTCAAGGACGTCGCAAAGAGTTCCTCCGTCAAGGCCAGCTTCCAGTTCGGCGCCTACGCCAGCTTCTCGTCCTTCTTCGGCCTCGCCCAGCTGCAAAAGGTCTCGGCCGACTTCCAGACCGTCGTCGACTATGCCTCCTCCATGGTCTTTGAGCTCGTCACAAACGCCACCACCGCCAGCCCCGCCGCCGACGACGTCGCGGTCCGCTTCCGCTTCGCCAACGGCTCCGCCGGCATCAACAACCTCACCGTCTACCCCCTATTTGGACGCTCCGAAACCGTGCTGCCCTGGAACACCTTCGTTACCGAGATGCGCCAGTTCGCCGTCGAAGACACAAAGTCCTGGTGCACGGCCTGCGGCAACTCGACCGGCACGTGCGCCACTGCGCTAGGTCTGGACGGCAGCACCGACGACAACGGTTCCGGCTCGAGCGGTAGCAAGGGAGGCGTCTCGACGCCTGTCGCGGGTGTCATTGGCGCGTTGGTGACGCTGGTCGTGATCCTGGGCTTCCTCGGCCTTGTCATGCTCGTCGGCGGACTGCGGCTGGTCAAGAAATCCAAGATCGCTAAAGACGTACCCGCCGCTTCTGCAGTGGAGCAGACTGGCGATGCCAAGCACTGAGCACGTAATGTAAGAGAAAATCTGTGCATGTTCACGATGGGTTCTGTGATCGATAATGAGTAACGATGAATGTGTGCTGAACAGTAGTCCCAAGAGGGCATGAGCTAGTAATGAGATGTTGAAACCACCCTTTACTAAAGAGGCTACCCATCTTTCGTGTTCCATGATGACTATGTTTTGCGCAGTGACGGCAACCCAAGGAAGTTGGACTGTAGTGCGACACAATGTTGATATCGTGCCAAGGCAAATCCCAAAGCCCACGACCTCACCGTCTTTCGCTGTTGTGACGAGCAAGTTTGATAAATATATAAAAGCTCCGGGGACGCGCATCGGTGAGGTGCGTAATCGGTGCGCCACCGCCCCTTTTCGAAATACCCAAGTCCTTCAAAGAAGACCCCTCCTCCCCAATGCGGCAGTCTACGCCCTCAAGTCTCTCAGTTCAACCGAGCTTCCATCGTTGTCTCTATCAACTTCGGCCGGCTCGGAACTGGATATTATCGATACTCGCACTCTCCTGTCGCTCGTTCGAGGAGACCGCTCCCTGCTTATGTCTGGCAATGTGAGATCCTGGACGGTAGGATAACCTCGACGTGAGAAACAAGCGTGCTAGCTTGCTACTGTCGTCTCGTTCAGACCGTAGATTACGGCGTCTACGAGGCCCTGAATTACGATGCAGGCTTGGTCGATATTTTGCAATGCAAACGCTGCCGGCTTATCCTGTGTCGTCTGGTATATGCGAATGGCAGTTGGAATCGACCAGACGATGGCGTAAGCAAGTGGATACAACAGCAGCAAGCGAGCGATCTGGAGCTTGATTAGCTTTGGCTTCTCCTCGGTCATATAGCATCGCGTCTATTACCCTTTTCAGTCTTCTAATGGAAACCATCGATCGGTCTTCGAGCCCTTCGTGGATGCTTGTTGCCCGACTCCCTTCTCGAGTCGAGTATCCAGACTCCAGATGCCCGGGAAACTCCTGCATCGAGGTCAACCTGTTGTGGGCTCTGTAAAGAATAATAGCCAGATATGCATATAAAACAAACATCATGCCTATGATAATCCCTGAAGAACATGTCAAGTCCAGATCCGACACAATCTTTTCTTCCGCCTAAACTCACATCGAGGAACGAAGTTGACGAGCAACCTCACTTTATCTGACTTGAACCAGCACCCTGTTCAGTAGAATCAGTACTCCATAAGAGTTTCGACATGACCAAGAATACTCACAGGCCCCAATATTCTCGTAGCCAACCACCCCGAGGCCTATAGAGGCCCATAAAACAGAGAAGAACCACGGGAGTCCCCAGATGACGACTTCATGGTTCTGTACCCAGCTGGCTCGCTTTCTTTGGCCAGCCAAGATGAAGTACGTGCAAATAGCGATGGTCAAGACCCAATAGTCGGTCTGGATGACGAAAACCTGGGCCATGAAACCGTTGAGGCTGCAAAAGTCGGCCTGTTGAGGAGCTCCGATGAATCTGCCGCTGAGATTCATCGATGTCGAGCAGAGAAAGTTGAAGGCCATGAGGAAGTCACTGATGGCGAGTCCTATGATGAGACGGTGGCGGAAGGATCGCAGGTTTGGGAAGATCTGAACCGCCTGTCAGCTTGACGAAAATTGCAAACTGGGCCCAGTTTGGAGGTCTACCCGGTAGCTGGTCATGATGAATCCGGCACCACAAAGCGACAAAACTGATACGACGAGGATGACAATGCTCTGTATCCGAACTTCCCTTGGGTAGGAAGGCGCTCCGATTGCCTCGTTTTCCTTGTTCTGAAGAAACATGGTGATATGTGAGCTCGCGCCGCTGGAGACCCTCTGATCTGAAATCTGATCTACTGACGAGACAGCGCTTGTCAATCGTTGATGTAGTCAAAGCTGCAATTGGTCTGGCTGCACGTCTGAGGTGCTTTATCGACGGAGGCAACTAGCTTTTCCCGCTTGGCGACTTCATTGAGGATGATTGCTTGATGTTGTCGAAAGCAAGTTTGGCTCGCGGAATGAAAGTGAAATTGGATGTGGCCACATTCTGAGTTGGCAAAACCAGTCAGAGAACAACTTTAGTCGTGGAGGAAGCAGCCGCCATTGATATTCCTGAAAAGATGGAAGGAAGGCATGCAGGCCGCTGTTTTCGCAAGACTGCACGGTGGCCAGGTCATGATTTAGTCTGGAATGCGCAAAATACCCTAGGACACTTGCATTGGGCAGATCATCCGTAGATAAAGGTTCGCAATCTAGGAAAGCAGTATCGGTGTCATGACGATGCCCAAGCAGGCATGAATTCTTTCCCGAGAACGCAAGGGCGAATTGTCCATTGCTCGAGAACGCGCAGAGGGGGTGGACGAAAGCATAAGGTAGAGAACGAGGGGAGCTTGCAGTCCAACACGTCTCTTCGGATTCAAAAATCGGCAAGTCTGGCGTACATCGTCGTCGCAAGATATTGCGTGACTTCGTGATCGCCCAAGCTGTACCAATTCTATGCTCAGGTATCGAGAATGCAGACTTTCTGAATCGTCAACCGCTCACAAGACACTTCAAGGACAGATTGCAATACGTACAATAACTCCGAAGACAGTGACAGGCATATTGGCAGGTGCTGGTAATGCAAATCGTCTACTGGCAGCGACGTTCTGTAGTTGCTATCGGGGGAAAGTTTCCGTGTGAAGTAGGTAAAGTATACGGTTCATACATGCAGGAGGCGGCTTTGTTCCTTCTTCACCCGCCCGTTCATCACCGTTCCTTCCAAAGATGACAGAGTAGGAACGCTACCTAGTTTCGCAGGAGGGCGGGAATACCTTCCTCCGCTTACACAGAGAGGCATTGTCTGCATCTGTCACACCAACACATGCCCCGCTGCCTCGTCACACCGAAGTGTCGACATGTCGCCTCAGTCCATGATCGATTTGAGGCAGAAAGGCCCAGCAACATATCATCCGTTTGAAAGCCAGGTATTTCCATCGCTGCACGACACCCGCAACCCAGCTGCTTCCAGGATTTGGCCTTTTTTAGCCCAACGGTCGTCATTCATGCATGAATCGAGCCCTAGCGGCGTGGAGCCTCCACCGGGCTGCCCACTTATCCCAAACATATCGTCTCGGAAATTTGGACACCGACTCGATTGCTCTTAATTCCTTTTCGTCTCGGACCGGATCATCAAGGACATCTTCGGCTGGGCATAGGCCATTACTAGTCCAGCCTAGAGCTATTTGAAAATATTCAAGGAAGTTTGGAAGAGCTTTTCTGGACCCCAATCATTGAGCTCCGAGTTTATGTCAAAGCGATGCAATATCCCACTTTCCATTCACTAGTGCCGCTCCGCTCCATCGATCGGCGGTCGAGAACATGAGAATTGACAGCAGACTTGTCATGTTGCATGTCTGTCACCAATGCCGGCCGCCAGTGTAGGTAGTAAAGCGGAGGTTTACTAACTCTGACATTTACTCTGGGTCCGTTGTGGCACCCAATACCCTATTCTGGGTAAGGGGTTTGCTGGCCACCGAAGAAGATGCTACCGTTTTCTTTGATCCTCGACAGCACACCCTCCGACCCCGTCTAAATGAGGTCCGCAGCCCGGAGCAGAGGCTCCTTGGCACATCATAGACAGCTGTGGGCGGCCGGTCCTTGGAGCACACGTTGCGAAACCGAACAAGCGCCGACCTAGGAAGCTGACAAGGCCGACTTGTCGACCTCCTGTGAGTTCTCCTTTCCCCGGTATTAGGCCGTTGGGCCGTTGCCGATAGCTTGCGGGGGAGACCGTTGGTTTGGATGCCACCGGCCGTCCTTCACCGCGATCCTGGCTGCGAATCCTGGCGCAACCATCCGGCGCTCACGTCCCGACCCGACATCATTCAGCTGACTCGCTAGCATCATACGAGTAAATACCTCCACTACACCGTTTGGACAGGTGCGAACCGTCGTGATCGGCTTTGTGCCAGGGCGAGGGGATGGCGAGGCGGCGGAGACATCTAGGACCAGGTCGGCAACTTACCCCAGTATCGAGTCTCCACGGCAAATTGACATAAATGGGGGAAAGGTGTCGCTCTCAAATCACTCCTTCCCCGCCGAAGGGCCAAAGCGGGCGACAAGGGTTCTACCGGAGGCAAAACGGCAGAAGTGGCCAGAGGAAGGTTTCGTTTCTAGGTCGAGGTCCGCTCGACTCGACTGGTGCGACAGGCCGACAGCAACATACGATACCTCCCACTGGGCTAAACGACCAGGAACCCCGACATGGAATCGGCATTTTCCGTCGGCCATTGAGCTCGTGGTAGACGGAAACCTTCGCAACGTGTCGCCGGGATGGTGGTCAGCAACGGGCCCTCCGGACCCGGAGGGCCGGGTCGATCAAATGCAAACCCAGGGACGCCCATGGACAACTGCGTAGGGCACCAGCATCAGGCCACCATACCGTATCGGCAATGCGATACTGCTTGCGGAACCGGAGACGGCGCCGTTTTGGGACTTTGCATCCCATTACAATTGCTAGCGGCCGCCCTTGCGGTCCCGAGACCACGGACCGGGTCAGAACACACTGAACGTAGCCAACCAGATGCGACATCGGCCGAATGAGCGACTTTGACGATGGGTTGTTTTGATCGGACTCGGGTCTGGAGGGTCATGAACAGGGACGGGGCTTAGACAAGAAATTGGCATGGGGCATCGGAGGCCGCATTTGGTGCAAAATGCTGCACCCGAGGCCTAATGCCTCTCCAGGTCCCGTCTGTCAAAATAAGACCCAGTCCGACCCGCTGCTGCCCACAATCGAGCCCCGTCCGCTGAATCTCAGCACGACGTCACGATGCATACTTATTAGGCTTAAGGCACGAGTCGTTGTTCTTAATCGACATCTAGCCCTAACGGAGACTTTCTCGTACGACTCAATGCAGCGTATCCGGCTCTACCTCCTCGCGGAACTGATCGACTTTGACGGAACAGCACAGCCGTTCAAGATTTCAGCGATTTCTTGAGACTTGACGGAGTACAGAAGAGGACCCATGGTGGAATACGACAATGGCAAGAACAAGCATGGATAATAGGCTGAGTCGTCTCTGTGGTTGATCTGCAGCTGGACTCGCCAAGCATACCAATACATCTTCTCTCCTTGGAATATGACACCTGCAGCTGGCCAAGAGTTCGCGGCGTGAATGAGCTTAAGATGGCTGTGAATAACTCGTCCCTGATTTCCAACGGTCTGAGCCCGTCGAGATGCCCACTTCGCACGGAACCAAGTACATAAACCCATTCATAAAACGCGTCCTCGACACAACCGTGTACAATCTTCTTTCTCTGGAATGGCCAACTCCTCAATAGATTGGGCCTTGTGCATGCAGACAGTCCGCATAACCTCAAGGCAGGGTTCTGATACCACCTCGATCCTACCACGGACAGCGAGAACAAGGCTCCGATACTATCACAAGAGGAACCCAGAATGGAGGACGGGGACCATGCAGTAGTCGAGGGAGCACCCGTACGACAGGAAGCTTAGCGAAGAATCCTCAATTTCTATGTATCAGAGCGTCTGACTGCATGAGAAAGTACAGATATTATGGTACTTATTAGACATTCAGTCAAAGAGGGCGCGGTAGCCGTCTCCACTGGGCGAGCTGCAAGCTTCAACGACACACGCATGGATGCTGACACCACCCTGTCTGCCGTCTTATCGTCTACAGGAGCTATGGACGCAATCAACGAGCTATATCTGTTTGCTCCGAGACTCGTCGAACCATCCCTCACTTCATGGCGAGGTTGAGCTAGGGCCAGAGATGATCCATAGCTTCTGCAACCCAGTCGCCTGCAAACATGCGTCTATTGGCACTCGTGCCGCCCAGAAAATCCACGACAGAGAACGGATGAGGGGTAATAGAGCCAGCAAACGGCAAAAAGTGGGAAGCGAGGGGTGCTCAAAACAGGACAGAAACAAGGGGACCGGGTAGGGCAACAGCGGCTCGCATGATGCAAAAAACACAACCATTGTTTGTGGAGAGGGTATACAGCGGCTCTGCTATACACCCTTCTTTTTTTTTTGGCGGCGGCGGCGGCGGCGGGCGCGCGGTTGCCTACATCGCTTTACCCTCGAGCCCGCTGCAGCCCGGTCCGCACCGGTCGATGAGGAACAACCAATGTAAGTATCACTTTCAGCTTGCAGGATATCATGACGAACCCCCTCCATGCTCCAGCCAAAGAACGCAACCTGCACGGTAGCGGCCCGAGTGAGTGTGTGTATATTACGCAGTAGCGCTGCCAAGTAAGTCAGCTTCAACCTGTATCAGCCGAAGAGGGTGAGACTTTGGTACGTATTTGAAATTGGTGACTAGCTACGCCGTGGGGAGGGGTTGGATCTGTTGAATTTGAGAAGCTTCCCTCATGCGCCAGCAGAATCATGGCCCCATGTGACGGCTGGGCCCGAGCATTCGGCATGTGCGTGTTTGCATCCTCTTACTCGTTGTCGTATGTGGTAGAATCGCACGGCAGAAGCACGCGGCTGGATGGAACCAGGTTGTGACTCAAATATGGTTACCACAATAGTAGCAACTTGGTTCTCTTCGTTCCATGCTTCATGTAGCAGCAGTGTGTATACAGTATTCTCTGCCAACAACTTTGTGTCTCCAAATAGGTGGTTCTTCCCAAGGTTTGTACGCCGGTTCCGTATGCCCAGAAAGGAAAAAAAAGCAAAAACGATGAGACTGCCGTGCAGGCAAGCACCATGAGAGAGAGAGAAAACATCAACAAACGCATCCAGTCTACTGTGCTATGCTGACACGGTGACCTCCCAATGAAATATGAAAGACGGGAAAAGATATTGTGGGGAACCAAAAAAAGAATTGGACCAAGGAGAATGGGCTACAAATGCTGTACTGTGCTCGCTCGCTGTGACTTTGCTTTTACTTTTGCTTTTGCTTTTGCTTTCGCTTTTCATGTCTCCCCATGAAGCCGCCCACCTTCACCCACTCCATCCAGACCCCTTGAGGTCCTGCGGGATAGACTTCAGGGCGTCGCCGTATTTTGCAGGAAGCTTTCCTCTTAGCGGTTCCGCTTCACCGGCCATGGCATCGCTCAATCTCCTTTGTGGAAGCCTGGTTTGCCCATGAATTGCGCTGCTCCCACTCGAAAACCAAAGACATTGGTGGCGTCATTCTGGCTCTGCCTCAGACACACTCCACTCAGTAACGTGACTGACCCAGCCGTACTTCATGCGCTTTTCCATCACTTCCTAGATCTCCAAGGCTGGCGCAGAAGTTGAGTGGGCGGCTTTCTATGCCAGATCACATCGTCGTCCAGCGTTTGGCAGGTTCCGTGTGGCCAAGAGCAGGATTGAGTGGTGAGACCAATGTAGAGTGGGTGCACCAGTCAACATCGGGTAAGAATTTGAAAACAGCAGGCTTTCGAGCCTTCTACTGTGTGCGTCCGAATTTCGGGCCTCCGAGCGAGGCAAGTCGACGGAAGCATTTCGTCGAAGAGTAGCATCTTAGCCGCTGCACAAGGGGCAGTGGCCTGGAACCACGATATATCGTTCGTGAGGGCCATTGCCGCAGGCACGACTCCGGTTGCCATCGACCGAGGTTCTGAAAAAATGCGCACCCGGGTCGATACATGAAGTGTAAATGTAGTAGTTCTTGGTGAAGTCGCACATGATGGGCAACCAGGCGGAGGGCTTCTCATAGAATCAGTACTCTAAGTCATTAACCTATGAATGCTAGTACAAGCCCTTACATATATTCTTAAAGTAAAGAATGGTAAATCCGTCAAAAATGGTGTGAGCGAAGTTGTAGATAGGTTCTAACGCGATGAACCGATGTGAAGTGCCCGGTTACTGTCTAGGCATAGCTCGTGCCCGTAGTAAAAGATATTTGCGGGCTGTGCTAGTACGAGAGTGGAGAGGATTGGGCTTGGGAACTTGGCCTTCACAAGGTCCGAAGTTGAACAGACGGGAGGATGAGGGGAGAAGAGATGACAGCCCGGGCAGGTAACGAGGAGTGTATGACGGGTTTAAGAGAACGGAGGAGGTCAAGATCGGTCGGTCTTGTATTCGGGCACCGAAAGCTGGTTGGAAAAGAAGCGTACGTGTGGTTGGTCGACGCCCGATGGGATATATATGAGTGAGACGAGAGCACAGGGCCAGGGCGTGAGGTAGGGTAGGTACCTTGCGAGAAAGGAGAAGCAAGGCGCAAAGCTTTGGTTTTGAGCAAACTGTGAACGGATTTGAGCTACCCTGTCCCATGTCTGAGCCATGACGGAAGCGCTTGCATCGAGGGGGGGATGAAAAAACAAAAAAACGGTCGTTAGGACGGACGGACGGACGACGAGGTCCAGGGTTGAGGTCTCTCCGCCTCGCCAGGCCCAGGTCTGTGACAGTGGGTACAGGTGGGAAATTCCCCCATCAGGCGATGGAGGGCTTTGACAGTGGACGGGGGCATGGGGACGAGAGAGGGATACATGCGAGAGAGGTATCTGGACCCCTGGTCATAACTGCACACCTCGTGGCATCTGCAAGGTAAATCTGCTATCGCCACGCCCGCCGCCGAGAGTGGGGAGCACTGGACGGGACTCTCCAGGGACGGACGGGCTCGAAGAACCGAGGCGGGCACGATCGAGGTTCGAAGCCCACCCAGAAGCACTGGAACAGGTCTGGGTCGGCTTGGGCTTGATTGATTGATTGATTGATTGATTGATTGAATCGTACTGCATGGAGAGGGCTGACGTGATGGCATTGTGGCTCAGAGGACAAGTATTATTGGAACTGGCAAGTGATGCTCGCTGTCGCTGTTGCCGGGCGTGCATCACCTCGCAGTTATTACTCTTGACCATTGGATGAGACTCCTGTGACAACAAGAGCGTAGGAGGAAAACAATCAGACAGATAGGCGGTTTGTGGATGCCAGTTGTCTGCGGATCGCCTCTGACATCAACCCCGCCCGTGAGAGGCTAGTTAAAAGAGGTGGAATATGGCCACCAACGGTTGGGCTTTGCGACCTACGAGAACAGACGCGGGGCGTAGTTAAGTGACCCAATTTTGTTGACGCTCTGCTGTCGGGAGTGCATACGGAACACTTGAAGAATGCAATGCGGAACAGCACAGAGACCACCACCAGCACCTGGCCCCGAAAGACGGGGCGCCGTCGATTGACGGTAAAGGCACTGGTAGCAAGTATCTGTAATCCCGTGGCAAGAATCCCTGTAAAACGCACCGACCTGACGAGGCAAATCTCTCTTCGCGGTAGGTGTCAGGGCGGGATGTCTCTGTTCCAGTAGACCGAGACACAAGCACCGACGGCTGGGTTAGCGAAAGGAGAGTGAGCTGCGTCTCCGCCTCCACCTCTGAACACCTCATCAGAGTCGCCAACTTCTGCTAGCTCCAACTTGCTTTTCGGTGTGGAGGGCAAGGGGCATTGAGCAAGGGCAACCAACGGGTGAGTGCTGCCTTGGTGAGAACGATCAGAAGAGTGTTGAATCGAGGAACTATTGTGAGAGCCGGCATACCCAAGTGCCGTGTTTGGAGGGATGGTGAGGCGCAGAAGTTGGATCGGTGCTTGATCTTGCACCATGTAGGAGGGCTTCGGTGCCGTCGAGGAATAACGACACGAATTTGGCCGACGAATTGGCGCCGAGGCAGAGGTGGTAATTGCCGTGGGGGGGCCTTTGGGGGCCTTTGGGGGACGCTGGGGGGCGCTGGGGGACCCGAGGGACGCAACGAAGTCGTGTGTGACACTGCGGGCGCGGGTGCAGGCTTGTTTGTTGTGAGATCAATGGCAGAGCTCCGAGATCTGATGTCCAGCCGGTCAAGTACCGCGCAAGGGGGGTGGATGATATGCCTCCAGCCACGTATTTGTTGAGATGGTCGATAGCAGGTTGCGCAGCAATTAGAGACGGTACGGATACATACGCTCAAAATCGAGAGCAAGCGAGTTTACAAGATTAGAGACACACGTCGGCGAAGTCGGCATACGACGTTGAGTTGGTTGGTACGTATATTGTAGCACACTTCCGTGGTGGCTTATGGAAGCCGTGTCCAAACTCTACCATAGTACGTAGAGGATATGATGGGCGCCGCTATTGCTATGGCCGGCGCCGAATGGCGCTGGCAGCAGTAGCCCAGGGTGGGATTGAAGGGTGGCAGTCGGCTTCCGGTGTCTAGGGCCGAAGTTGAGTTTCCCTCAAGTATCGTCAACATATCGGCAAAGAGACACGGCAGGGCAACTCGGACACGTCCGCTTCGGAGCGAGACGTCTGTTGAGTTGGTCCAATGTGCAACGTCTTGGGGGTTATGTCAGGTCTAGGACAGACGTGAGGCGGAGCGAGGTCAAGAAGGAAAAAAGCAGCGGTGCCAGGAGAAGGAGGAGACTTGTCTGGAGGTCGAGTGAGGTGGTGGTAGTCGGCTAGACGAAACGATGCGGGAAGAAACCGGAGACAGGGCCAGAGTCTGAAGCCTGAAGCACCTGATGATGCGATGGAGGGATGAAGGGATGGCTGGCGTATGGCGGCAGGCCGCCATTGGCATGCAGCGGACAGACGAATTGAGATGCAGCAAAAAGTATGACCCGACAGTGACGGACGTGGGCATGGGCCAGATACTCTGAGCCTCTGAACTGTGATGAATATTCCGTACATAAAGTAGTACGAAGTGGGAAGGAGATGACGAAGATACAAAAAGGAGAGAAAAAGTGTCAATGGCAAGGCCGTGCTCTGCAGCAGTAGTGCGAGGTAGCTGCAGAACGGACGTCGATAGGGAGGAGCTGGAGGTGTGGAGTCAACGGGATGTGCAGGTGCGACCTTACCTTGGGAGCGGGTGCGGGAGGTGCAGCGTAAGGTAGGTAGCTCATAAGGAAGGTAGGCACGAAGGCAAGCCCGGTGAAGGAACCTTGGAAGGCCCGGATCGTGTGCGTCTTAGGTAAGGAAGGTATCCGTCCGTGTAGATACGTAGATACCTACTTTAGGTACGCAGCAATCATGAGGCACCCAGGTTGAGAACGACGACGGATGAAGGACGATGAAGAGGGAGGTTCGAAGAGTCCACGGCGGACGATAATCTCTTCACCACCTCGTGCTTTTCTTTTTTCCGTCCCAAACTATGCAGGCGGCTTTCCTTCCTCGTCCTGCGTGCCCTATACTTTGGTCCTCCCAAAGGATCCTCCATCGTCATCTTCATCCCCACCCGCTTTCTTATTCTCTCCCCTTGCGCTCTTCCCTCCTTCAGCCCCATGCACGCACGCCTCTCTCCGGAGGCCTGGACATTACATGCAGAAACGTTGAGATGGCCTTGACCCCGATGGCAAAGTGTGATATACCTAGCAAAGCAGGTAGACAGGGGGAGGTATGGATAGAGTATTTGCAGGTGTGTGTTCCTATATGTGACAGACTCTCACCCAGTGGTTAAGGATAATAATTTGCCAGTCTGAACCGGCGACTTCCAGCTGGCAGGGGACGTGTTTGTGAGGTATAGTGTAGGTAGAACCTGCAAAGATTGTTGACTTCTATTGGATGGCAATGGCAGTGCTATGAGCATGGTCCCTCTTTGACCCGATGTTTCTCCCTATGGATGCAACCCACCAAACACGAATGCATTTCTTGGCCTCTGCCCCGCGGACGAGTAGCGCCGGTGCCTACCTGCCTTACTGACCTTGAGAAGCTGAGGCCCACGGAGAGAAAACATGAGGTGGAAAAGCAAAGAAACGGAAACATACCGCCCCGCCCATGGATTCTTTTTGAGATGATGCTGCTGCAATGGTGATCACTGCTGTTGGCTTGGTTTGGGCTTGACCAAGGCATGAATCAGCAAGAAGGAATCCCTCAGCTATGGGCAATTGCCGCATCATGTCCCCCAACCCGCGAGCCGTACTTAGTCCGAGGTGCAGGCGCATGTGCAGGCGCATGAGGAGGCGCGAATGCCCTCGGTGAAGGGCCACACGGAAGCATTGCACACACAGATGGGACACAGATGAGGTAAGACAAGTCTATCCGTACTGCTACTTCCTAAGGTACCCAATCAAGCCAAGGTCAAGGTCAAGGTCAAGGTCAAGGTGTCCAGGTCCAGGTCCAGGTCCAGGTCCAGGTCCAGGTCCAGGTCCAGGTCAGGGTCATGGTCCATCCAGAAGGAGCAGGGCACCTTCCCTTTAGATTGGCTCCGTGCCTCCTCCTCCTTCTCCTCCTCCTCCCAGGCTCCGCTAATCCATGTGCCGACACGACATGACGCCCGAATCGACTCGACCCGACCTCGACTCAACCTCAATCCGAGGCACGCCGCACAAGAGGACACAGCAAACACGCTCACACACACCCTTTTTTTTTTTTTTCTTCTTCTTCTTTCCCCCTGGATCCCGAATCCCCTCGCCGACTCGCTGAGTCCGTCCCGTCCTCAATCATGTCCTCCTCCCCCCTCCGCCTCATTATCACGCCGAGCGAAACCAGAACCTTGCCACGTTGGAAGCGTTCGAACTGCACCGCCTCTTGATTGCCGAATGGAAACAAAAAAGAAACAACCAGCCATTTCGCGCCATCTTCATCATTGCACGAACAACGACTCAAAAAGCCTCTGGCCGGGCTCTGGCATACAATTCCCTTTCCAAACCCAACATGTTCCGCTCAACGCCCGCCCTCTCCACACATCACCATCTCGATTGAGAGACGCCCAAGACGGTACACCGACGCCCCCGCTCCCCGTCCCCGGTCCCCCGTCGCCGGCCCTTTTCTGCGTGTGGTCTATTGTGTTGGCTCGCTCCTTCGTTGCCCTCTTCCGTCCCGTCACCTATATCCGTAGAGTCAGTCACAGCAGGCCCGACTCCACGTCGGTTCTTTTCATCGTTTCGCGGTCCAAGCACAACCAGTCCACCCGTCGGCACCCACTCACACACTCACTCTTTGCATCGTTCTGGCGTTGTCTGCAAACCAAACCAAAACAACCTGTGACGGCATTCCCACCACCACACGCATTGTGCCTTTGGATGTTAAGAGGTGGGTGGCATTCAACTTTCCCTGTCACCGGCACGCCACCCATACTATCAGATAATGAGTATTAGCTACTGCCTCCAATCGGCGTCGGTTCCTCCAGAGTCGTCTTTCTCGAAGACTCAGACTACAGCAGTACTGACCGTCATGCACCCAAAGCAATCCCAGGCTTATGGGGTTGCACTGCATACATTGCAGGAGGTTAATTCTTGGTCCCCCAAACATTGCTCCCTCCTTCAAGTTCCCACTTGGGTCTGTTGCAACGAGGCTCTTTTGCCTGGACTGTTGGTAATGACTTTGCAGCTCATATGCCTCGATGAAAGAGCCACATAGCATCAGCGCCGCAACACGATCAAATTAACCCTGCTCTATCATGGTTTCCCTAAGAACATCGGCTTCGCATGCACCCTCTGCGTGGGCCTTTTCAAGTTTCAGGTGTCTACGGATTCAATTCACAACCAATCAGCCAGGTAGAATCCGGGGAATGATGCACCTTTTGGCACAGCATGTTCTTTTCTGACTCCCTAGCGACTTAGTAAAAAAGGTCCAAAAACCAAAAACATCATTTCTCATACTGATGTAAAACTCGTGAAGGGCGAAAGGGCAGTAACTAACGTGGTGTCAAAGCTAAGGTCAAGATACCCCGTCGTTGGTAGGTACATTATCTTCGCTCAGCGTATGATTGAATGCAACACAGTAGCAGCTTCATGTGCCGGGTCAACAGGCCGAGGCCAAATGTCATGAGACCACAAGAGGAATCCACTGTCGAATGCAGACGAAAACAGAAATATGACATCAGTTTTCCCCTTTGGAAAGCCCTGAATAGGAATTACATGCTGGAAAGCCGATCAGCAGAGTCCAAAGCGGGCAGCTATTGTCGTCTCAACGGCTGCAGTTACGATGTGACACCCCGCAGGGACCGTCCGTCTGCGACAGATGCCCTCGACTACAGTCCCCAAGTGCAATAGCATGCCAATTATTGGATTGTGCTATTACGACTTTATGACCAAGGTCGAACTATGCGACGGTTTCTGATGCACCTAGTATCCCATTGGCCCACATCAACTCATTTGACGCCCTTGCCTGCACTCTATCTCTGTCTGTTGGGGCCGTCTCCGGGTTAACAATCGCATCACCAAATGTCTTTTTACAGCGGGCGTCTTTGGTGGAACGGCACTCGGAAGCTAACCCGGGCCTGCCTTGCGAGGCCCACCTCGTCGATATGCACACCATGCGGCTCGGGACAAGACTACATGGTAGCTGGACCTCAGACAATCAATCTGGCAGGTCAGCCAACGTTCGGCCTTTGAAAGCAGATGCAGATTAATGGTCTTGTGGAAAGTGGAGTGCGTTGTCAACGGAAGCCGGAGGCCGGAGCCGCGGTATCTACTATCGAGTGACACAACAAGGCGTCGAGGAATCTCGACGGAACTCGACATCCTTTAGCCACCTGAGCTGACATTGCTCGAGAGGTTGGCAGAGGAGCGCACAATAAGTCTGAGACATTGGGACTGTGCTCGTCGATGATTAGATCAGTGATGAGTGGCTTGCCGAACCCCCACCCCACAGAAGCCTCTCCCCCGGGCTTGATTTGGAAACGTGAGTCTGGTCGCATAACCAGCTTAACAAGATCAGTCACGCCCAACGCCGCCGATGCCACCACGAGACAAAACGAGAGAGTCTCTGCCGGGGGCGTTGAGTATCCAAGCTGCATCTCGCTTGATGGAACATATCGGTCAAGCTCCGATCTTGTCTTCGCACATCGATACTGCCGTCCTTGTATGGAGGGCACCCGGTGGTATAATTCAGTTTCGTTTTGATACGGATGTCATTGATGAATATCTTTCGCGCCATTCATGGCTCCAGAAGCTGCCTCACCAGCTGGTACGAAAAAGGAAGAGCTGGCTGACTGGGGTATGCTGTTCATAATGCAAGCCGATCTCATCTGGGACAGATCGGAGATGAGCAGCAGCCGCAGAAGAACGGAAATCACTAGACGCTCCCAAGAGGGGCACAAAGCGGCTGGACGCGCCATCAGCTCAATAACTGACCCAGGGCATTGCTTGCTGCTGTGGCATCTTCGCAAATGCAAGACCGTCGTCAATTTTCTTTTAGTGCCTGTCCGACCGCACACAGACACCACAAGCTTTATGGGACGGTTCTGGCCTGCGTGGAGACAATTGCAACAGGTCACGTCGTAGCAGAGAGACGGACGCCAGCCGCAAAAGGATTGCCGAACTTGTGGCTGGCCTGCCAAAAATCTTAAAAGTCTGGTTCCAGATCCAGGCGTGCAAAATCACCGTCCAAGGGAGGGGCGTATGGGATTTGACAGATGATGACCCTGCATGTTTTCCTCTCCACCAAGTATCCATGCCTCGTAGCGCATCCGTACCGGTACGGATACCTCCAAGGACGCCGTCAGTCCACCGGCCCGTGTATGTCTCACCCCACGGCAGCGATACGGATACACTATCCGTACATCTTTTGGGATATGCTAATCATGATGGAACAATGCATCGTTAATTATCCGTCTCCCACAGGCTATTACTGGACCGCAAACGGCAGCATTCCTCAATGTGATTTGGACAGTGTGCACTCGGCCGTACAGGGACTGTAGTCTTGATTGGTCCAAAGGTCAAAAGTGAAGCACAACGGCGGCGTCTACGAGGCATCCAAGGTAAACGCTTGCGATAAAACCCAACATTGACGCAACAGGGAAGTAGAAAATTTCTGACTTTCCGACTGGTTTCTCGCAGAAACATTGAATTTTGAACGTCCGCCCTGCTCAGCTCGGCCGTGTGGCAGGCCATTAGTCCCGTGCTTGATGTACGACAGCGTTTTACACAAGGCGTCTTGCCGAAATTCAGGGCTACCCCAAGGTCACTCCACCACTGCTTTCGAGACTACGGGTCCGCGTCAGTTGCCCAACGCAACATCAAGCAGGGAATGCTGACTGGCCAGGAGCTTGATAGTAGCAGTCGGAACGTGCGGCGAAGCCGTTGTTATTTTCCCAGGCATCTTCTCCATCGAGCTTGCTTCCGGACCTTGATAGCCACTGTTCCCACAGCTGTCGCGACGAGACCATACACGACGGCATTTTGTACTTGATGGAGATGCAGCAATATCCTTATTCGCAACTCGATATGCTCTATTGGTAGCGGGCGTCGCACGTTGCACTCTGGCTTCCTTGACGATCATTGACCTTCTTCACATCCATGTTCCGTTGCAGCTCTGGAGTTGTAGCTCTTCCCTGCCGCAGAGCCAGGAGTCGCCGTCAAAGCGTTCGTCGACAAACCCACCCTCAGGTTTCACACCAGACTTCGAAATGTTCAAAGCGCCATCCGGCCTCCTCCCCACACCCATAACCCCAAATTTCATCTGATTCCCCTGTCCCTTGCCCTTGTCAGCTCCCTGCACGGCGGCTGCCAAAGCTGGATGATCGCATCAATCGGAGTTTGGGCGAATCATGGCGGTTCCAAGTTCTTTCTGACAGGTGCCCGATGGGCGAAGTCTCCTTGTCCCATGCTCGCAACTATCGACTAGAAGGGGTATTGTGAGGGATGTTTGCGCCGGGGTTAACCCAAAAAAGCCTGACAGCAAGTGGAGAGTCTCGCAGAAACCGCTCGACCTTGAAGCCATGCTCGCCTTATGGAGAAGAAGCGAGAGAGGAGGGGTGCGTCTCCATTCCGCTGAGTCTCTAGGCATATCCTGAGTATCCGGAATACGAAGTTCGAGTCGATGTCGGTCTCAAAGTTGCAGACGAGAGGCAGAAGTGGGTTATCGACGCACTGTCGTCAAATTGACAACGTGCCACGGCACGACGCGAGAGTCCGGGTAGCGCCATTCACTTTGGACATGCTACCATTCTCGCACGAGGCCGCACGCACTTCGACTTCCGGCCTCACGCCCCCTCCCCTTATACTCCGTATGGCATCCCCCTATACTAAGTTGAGACACCTGGCGACTGATGATCTTTTCCAAGCCGGATGGCGTGTCAGCGCGGCTCTTGTCTGTCGACTGCGTCTACGGCGGAGTGGAGGGCTTCCCTGATTCGCTGGTGCATATGTGGGGGGGAGGAATCTCCAGGCCTCGGCCTCGTTGGTATTGACGAATTATCATCAGCTCATGCCCATTATGTGCTGTCACCAGTCGGCGGCCGACGATTCACTGGAGATTTCGGAATCTCATCACTGCGAGCTTACCATTGTGAAGGCCCGACGTCCGAAGATACCCTTTCTCGGGCGGAGATGTACGCACAAAAATGTCTGTGGCACCGACCATAGGTTGTCTCCCCTCGGCTCTATAGCGAAAAACATCCTCGGCCTATTGCTTTTCATCAATTCGTTGCCAAGCTCCACGCTGTTTAATGTGATTACATAATCATATCGCTGCGAATTGTTCTCTTTTCGACATCTCAATAGAGCCTCGCCGCTCACTTTGCAAGCCGCACTGGATAAGCTCCGACATGTCTCACTATCGCCGATTGGCGGACACTTGCCAGGACTTGGGTAGGAAGGAATCGGGCCTCTTCAAATAGCCACACATACGGCGCGTAAAATTCGAGAGACACCAATATTTTGTCATCGGAACGGGTGCTCCCGTTTCATCGCGGCATCTCATCTCTTGAACGACGGAGACGGCGAACATGACTACTTCATCTCCGCCGACCGAGACTCTCAATTACTGGGAGCACCATGCTCAGTGACGCGGCTTTTTCTTCAAGGTTTTCTGGGTTGTCGCGGTGCTCGTAGTAATCTCAATGTACGGAGACAACTTCAAAAAATGAGAGGTCCGTTCATCTACGACGACTGGTTGAAGCTTGCTGTGTGCCAGTCTTCGAGTCACCGCTCGCAGTAACTCTACGCACCAGCTAATCAAATAATCATCAGGTTTGAGGCGTCATTTACGGTTGCCCTTTGCTGCGCACATGATACTATGTACAACCCTCACTCGCATAGTTAATGAGCGAATCACGATGTCTTCAGGTTTTGAGCCTGGTCACGTGACGTTGTCATGGAGCGACGATCCGGCTAAGGCGTGTTGGAGGCAATCGTCTGATCTACGCTCACTCATTCTCTTTCCGCTGTGAATATTCCACTGAAGGGGCTCGAGGGTGTTTTGGGCAAGTTCAAGATCCCTGGAGGAAGGTTCATCGAGAAGCCAAAATAACCACAGAGCAAAACATGCAACCTGAGCATGAGGAAAGAGCTCAGTGTCCGGACGGTTTGATACTCACGGACGTTTCTCACGTCATCCGCGCTGACCGTTCGACAGTGGGTGTCGACGAGTACAGGGTCCAGGGGTCTTGACGCTTCATACTGGTGAGATTCTTTACCCACGGTTCTGCCGGGCCAATGTTATTCACGCGGCCAGAAAATGCTTCGGCTTAACTGTACCATCCAAATGTTATACATCGGGCATCTGATATAACGAACGAAGCATACCCCATCACGGCGCCATCGTCCCGCACTTTCCTTTCTCATTGTCATGACGACGAATTTTTCTAAACGCCGTCTCATCTTGACCCATTTATGCGCGAGGTCAAGCTTTATCAAGTAGGAATGCGATTAACACTACTGGTACTAGTCAATTAAATCGGTTATTACAACACGATATTGTTCAAAACAAAGGTCATCTTCAGAGGCAACCAGAGAGAGAGCAGCCTTGCACAGGCGATCTTCATTACCGTCCTACGAGGGATTTCTCGGCCACTATCCAGTGATATCAAACATCCACCCTTGGTCCAAGCTCACAACGCAACCAGGGCCGCAATGAGACCCCCCAGCAGAGCAACTGGTCCCATTGTAGGCGCAGCATTCGGTGTATTGGTCGGTGTGTGGGTCGGTGTGTTCGTCGTATGCGCAGCATTTGCTGTGTTGGTGGCAGACGCAGATGCACCGGTGGCAGCAGCGCTCGCGTGCGTAGCGGTGGCTGTCGACGACAAGCTGGCGGTCTTGCAGACGACCTGGTCAGGTACAGCAACGTCTGCGCCGGTGCAAATGTTCTTCGCGAACTTGACAGCATTTTCCTGGTCGGTTGTAGAACAGACGCCGGCGAGACAGCATGCAATTCCATCGAGGAAGCCAGAGTTGGAGCAAATGCATTTGACGTCGACCTGACTGCAGTTGGCAATTGCACCGCCAGTGGTGTATTGGTTCACGCAGCCTTGCTATTCACAATCACGAGACATGGGTCAGCACACGAATTCAAAACGATTGCGACGATCTGTGGCACTCGAGCAAACGGCAAAAGGTTGAGACCAGAAGGGAAACGTACAGCGCACGTGGGTAGCTGTGTGTCCTGCGCGGCGGCAAAGCCGACAAGCGCGATGGCTACGGCGTGGAATCTCATGGCGACTGTGTTTCGAAGACGAGAAGACGTGTCGAGCGTAGTCTGAGCGCGTCCCCAAGAAGTGAAGCGTTGATGAAGAGACGAAGGCGGCAGCACGGATGATATTGTAGCGAGGGGACAAGGAGAGTAAATGGCAGGACAAAGGAACCAAAGGGTCACCGAGAAGGGGGAAAGCTGAAAGCTTGCTACGGCACACGGCGCATGTGGTGTGAGGCCGGCGTGGCATTCCCACGCCCGATTCAAACTACTATATGAGCGCCACCATCTTAATTTGTTTTCCCCTTCCATCGAGCGGCCCCTTGGCCGTGGACGATTTCGGTTGAATTCACACCAATCATGACGCTGGACCACTGGCGCCAGTAGCATGTCTCATTGGCTGTTGCTAGGCTCGTTTGAACTCAGTCAGTTTAAACTTTGGAGCGCTGGAGCTTATTGCGGAACTCATTTTACCAACTTCCACATTGTTATCGACTTAGCAGGCATGCTAAGTCAGGGTCGCCTAGACACCCGGGGGGCCACCCCACCCGGATGGCCCGGAGGTTTGGTAAACGGCTACGGTGCGCTGCTCCACTCATCTTGGGGGTTGAACGGTCCGGGAGAAGAAGAGGCCAGGCCGTCCGGGGGCCCGGGTTGAATGCCGGAAGCTCCGTGTCGGTTTGCTCCTACGATTCGCTTCTCTGCCTTCTCCCGCCTTGCATTTGTTGTTTGGGTTACCGCCGTGTCTGACCGCGCGGGAGAATGAAACATCATCCAAACTTTTCAGAGGTCGTGGACGCGTGGCGCTCGGTTGTCTGGAGTACTGGCCGGGACGGAAAGTCCTTTCTCGACTCCACGCGCGGACCATCAAACATTCTTCCTTCCCGCCTCTTGATTCTCTGGACGAGGAGTAAAAGGCCTACCTGACATGCCTCTTGCTCCGTCAAGGTGAGGCGGAATGAAGCTTGTCGTGATCCCTGGCCGCTCGGCCACCACCCTTGTATACTCAACGTGCCGGACGGCCGTCTTCCCCCACACCAGCCGCCTAACCTCCATGTCCAGGGAGTCGGGAGCAGCGGCGTCGAATATGACATTGGAGACGTGAGCACGGGCGTGCTTTCATTTCCGAGTCACACTCGGAGGCTTAGACTGCTGGCACCACCCACGTAGCCACGCATGATGCAGCAGCTTAGATCGCCCGCTCGATGGCCCGGACCGCTTGTGCCTTTGCCTTGCTCTCTGGCGGGCGACTTTGTCGACAGGAAGGATTGAAGGGTAGTTATTTACGCCTTTTATGACGGAGGACAACCTTTCGCCAGTACGGGCGCCGTCTGATCTTGGTGCAGCGTCCAGTCTGTGCCCCTTCCAGTCCAATTGACTAACTATAAGCGCTTGTATGTGACTCTCAGCTGTCATACTGCATCACGCTGGAGTCATGACGGGGTGCCTCGTTCATTTGCCAACGGAGGCCTCCCCTTGACGGCAAATCGAACCTGTGATTGTACTATTCGAAGAGCTATGCTTTATTACTGGGGAAGGCGAACGAATTCCGCATCACATCGCTGGTGTTTCTCGGATTTCGGCACTTTGTGGAAAGGTCATCATCGGCAACGGAAGCTGCATGCCGAGCCGGGCCAAGCCCCGCGCCGAGAAAGCTCGACGGGCAGCAAAAGAGAGCGAGAGATTGAGCGCCAGGTCGTCCAGACGCGGACTTTTTAGTCCATCATTCTGGAGAAGGGATACAACATTCAGCACAGCACATGGGAGTGGACATTACACGAAGCTACCGTACTGTATTGCACAACTCTGGTCAGTCTTCTTCCTCGGACCATCTGCCTTGTTGCACGGCTCCCGGGATGTTTGCACCGCGCCGACTCGCAATTGGGCCGCTTCGGACCAGTAACCATCCACATGGTTGCAAACCCGAGGCACCAAAGTGCTATCTGGACCATGGATAGAGCATCTATGAGGGGCAAGATGCTTGCTGAAGCCCGATCGACGAATGGGCAGCAGTGACTGCCGAGCTCAACGAGCCAAGGTGCAGACAGATCGTCAAACGCCGAACAAGAGCCGTACCCAATTACACTGTCGGCTACTGAACGTTGCCACCTCAAGCATGATACCCATCGCTTAGGATCCATGTACGGTTGGCAGCAAGTTGGCGGTAGTACGAATACACCCCTCATGCTGGCTCACCTCCCCCGGTGAACAAGATCAAATATAGAGATACGCAGCGGCAGGCCGTCACAAACAACATGGCTCTAAGCGCCGGACCGCACCCGTCCCTACTCTACCACTGCCGCACGGCTCTCTTCAATCTCCAATTATCCCGCACGACATACATACACTTTCAATAGTGGCGCCCGGCTCGCGGCTCACGTCACAGATGGACTTAGCGCTGGCTAGCCTCCTGTCCAGCAGTCCGCGGCATACGAGCGTCGTATACCGTTGTCGATTAGGGAGGGGCTAAGTAGCTCAGGATTTACAGTACTGAGATACAAAAGCTTACTTACCCGGGATACTTGGACGATGGAGAGTTATTCCTTGTAGCTTGAGTCCACCCTTGACCCAAGTATTCTCTTTGTGGCTTACAGGCATGCAGGCTTGCGGGCAGCCGTATGTAGACTTGTCGATGTTGCACTTCTACCCGAAAGCCACAGTAGATTATACGATGAGCAGGTTTTTTTTTCCTTATCCCTCTTGTTGATTTTGCTGACCACTCTAGCGTCGAAGCCAACGCTGCGGGCAGCTAACGAGATTCTTCTTTCTTGAGCGAAGCTTGCGAGGCACCAAGGGAAGGGAAAAAAACGCCACTTTTGAAATTTTTTCTTCTTCTTCCCTTCTTTGGCGCCACCATGGAGGAGACATCAAATGTCGTTGACGAATCTAGACGCCACCATGTGCACGGGTCCATCCGTTTGACGTCCCAGTCCGGTCCTTGGGCATGGTGAGCAACAAAAACAACGACAACAACAGCATCCCATCGTGGTCTCAATGCGCCTGAACCCCCCCAACCCTTCCAACCCACCCCCGGGGGAGAATTTCAACCGGAGGTTTATCGATCCGAAGGGAGAAGAAACAGAAGAAGAAAAGAAAAAGGCTGAACTGAACGAAAAGAGAGACACAGAGAAACACCCTAGGCGCCACTACCATGCGCGCTATGGACTGGGACTAAACCCCAAGCGAGGGAGGGGGGGGCGGGCGCGCCGGGGGGGGAAGAAACAGAGCAAAAGAAAGAAAAGGAGGAACGCAACATAACGGGAGATGAGAGGAAACCCCCCGGGCGCCCTAACCTTGGCGGCGAGGAGGTGGGGCAGACCCCCGGGGGCGGGGGGGGGGGGGGGGGAGAAAACAAGAGAGAATCGCAGAGTCCCACGTCCCGCTTTGGCGCCCCGTCGATTTTGGCTTCGCCCGCGTCTGGGCAGAACGGCGCTACAGGTTCCGCGCCGCAGTAGTCTCTTTTCTCGGTTGCAGTTGCTCAGGGCGCGTGGTGCGTTGTTCACGTGCGAGCAAAGGGGTGCTTCCTTGCCTCTCGCTTGATGTGGCTTGATGTGAGAGGTGCGTATATCAACGGTGTATCCGTATGCAGGTCAAGGCAAAGGTGGGACATTCAGCTTTGACATCTGCTCAAAGTACACATGATATATCCTCACTGTTTGTACACCCTACTCTCCATCATCCCTGTCTTTTTTTTCCCTTGACGTACCTGGAATGCCTCATGATCGAGAGACATTGAGTCCAGGTTGACCCCGTCAAGACGCGTTCCTAGACTCACTAAGCCAGGCACTATTGGTCTACGCGACCTGTTTTCGAGGCTCGTCGTCGTTCGGACGATGTGTGAGGAAAGTATATGCAACGCCAATGCCGGCCGATTGCATCGTGGATACGAAGAAAGAGGAGAAATGAACACAAGAAAGGCAAAAAAGAAAACGCAAAAAATGCAGTAGAATGAGGGATCCGAAGGCAAATGAACACGAAATATGACAAAAAAGCTGCACCTGCCGGAATTCGAATCCGGGTCCCTCGCTATTCAGAATCCAATTGGAGATGGAAGGCGAGGATGATAACCACTACACTACAAGTGCTGGTTGATGGTGGGCTCCGGTGGACATTCTCATCATGGAGGGAATGGGCCGGTTGCCCCGCTCTGGTCTTCCAGAGCTTCTTCGTCGGTGGGTTTCACGGGTTTGGTGGGATCGTGTTCAAAAGGTAGGTTGCGTCGGCAGAGTTGACGATTGCCGTCTCGTCCGGGAGGATATCGGAAACTCTAGAGGTGCTTCCTCCGCCACGACGAGTGAGCAACGACAGCCCTCCCATCCACCGCGAGACACTGTCGAGAAGAGGCAGTCTCGGCTTCGTTCAAGAGACTCCACTTACAGTACAAGATGGCGGGCAGCCATCACACTCTTGACCTCCTCGGCCGAGTTGCAGGCCTCTCTACTCCTGAACCTCAACTCATGAATTCTCATCAAGAACAATTCCTGTAAGTCCATCGGGGGCTTTTGAAAGCGCATGAAGAGAACTGGAACGTCCTCTGAACATCGTCTCTTGCCCCGCGTAAGGGACACACGGCAATACGAGGGAGGGCTGGACAGCAGAAGCTCAACTACCAACAAGCTCAAGCAAGTCTCGTAGTTCAGAATAGATACGTTCAAATCCATAGGAATTTCATCTAGATGCCTGCTGCGTCTTACGTGAAATGGAGCCATCATCCCCATGCAATGGATGACGATGTTACGGGACTTCTAGCACTTACAGCACGTTCACCACGAGCCCCATCCTCTCAAGCCATCGTAGGCTACATCCCGCTCCAGCTCACTACATCACGCTTCATCATTTGACCTTGTGTTGAAGTTTGACTTTCGATTGGGATGGGATCCACTAGTCATATTCCCACAATGATTGCAACTGCTGATAAATCTATTCAATCTTCCAACACACTTCCTCGACTGCGCGGTCGATCCGCTCTCTCTCTTTTTGGAATACCACAGCCTGAGGAACATTCTTCACATGACTGAGCATGGCATCTGAATTTCTTCCATCTCTGGGGATAACTCTTCCCGAGACGGTCGTTCTGCCGGAGTCCCGTACTAGGGGAAGTACGCCGATACCTCTCTGCGGCTCTCCAACGCCTTCACCACAGTCTTGATACCTGCCGTTTCCCGATGTTCCCGCAGAATACCGTCAACCAAAAGAGTTCTCTTCGCCAACTTTGGAATGTTTTGATATTTGTAAAATGAAACGTATCCGGGATCGTGTGCCCTTTCGAGTTCAATTTCACTGAGCTTGAAGTTATCAAGCATGTTGACGGTCATCAAGACATAATTGATTGTGGAATAAGCATGGGTACCACAGACGTCGTTTTGCAGGTCTCTTTTGACCAAATTCAGTATTTGAACTCTGGTTGGCTCAATACACTTCGGTGACACGGCTCCAGGTCTCATGTCGGCAGCTCCGGTGCTGGACGCACTCTTCTCCAGATCTTCCATTCCATTACTCGGAGCGCCAAGGGATTGGTGGGATTGTACTTGAGTGGTCTGTTTCAAGAGGCTCTGCATTCGAGATGTTAGCCCTTCGTCATCTGTATCTAACGCTGCTTTGACGCGGCCAAGCAAGTTTCTTTCATCGTCGGTCTTGCCTGTCAGATGGGGTTCGGCAACCCTCTGAGCAGCGCGGAGCAAGGCTAAACTAGTCCGAGGGTTGAGGTCATTGTCTGGTATCCAGTCAACATTCCAATTCGCTTCTCGGTAAAGCAATAAGTTGGACTTTCTTCTGAAGGCCAGGTTTCTGTCGAGATCGAATGCGCGATGGAATCCTTCATGTGCGGGGCGGGCAACTTGTTGTTTCGACCTGCCAGCTCCCCACATGAGCTCTCGGATGCCAAGAAAGGCATCGGCGAAGTTGGACAGTGGAACATGGCCGTCAAGAAAGAACCCGTCCGGGAACATGTCTTGCAATAATTGGTAGTGAGCTAAAGGCTTTCCAATGTGCTTATGCTGTACAAGGTTGTTGTGGAGATGTACCATGGTTACTGGCTCCTGGATGGTGTCCCAGAGGAGCATGCTCATGCGATAAGTCATCTCCAGACCCTCCATGAGACCCACGCCGCAGAGAAATGGAGAGTATCTCCACAGGCCATTGGGACCGGTATGGTTGAAGCGGGAATTTGGAAGTATGTTGCCATCCATCGGTATCGATTGACCCAGGAAGTCGAATGCTTTGCAAAATTCTCCCAAGAACTCTACGGGCCCTTTGTGGCTTTCAGGATCGTCTGCCTCTAGAATGTGTGCCAGCAAGTCGGCAGACTGAAGAAAACCAAAACAGATTTCTTCTTCTTCGCAATTCTCTTCGTTACCGCTGTTTTCTTCGTTGTTGCTGTTGTATTTGTTACTTCTATTATTCTCCTGGGTGCTATTGTACTCCTCTTTGCCGTTCTTCACGTTTCTGCAGCCCAGAAACCCATCAATGTCTTTCATCGGACCACGGCTGCCTGAGGATGGTGGCACAAGGACATGCCCCCACCGAGTGTTGTTGGACCAACCGCACGACACAGTGAAAGCGTCCACAATGCATTGGAGCTGAAAGACGTGATGAGGCATGATGTACGGGCGAACATCCGTTCCTGGCTTCTTCATTGCCAATGTGGCAACGAAGCTTGCAAATTCCTGGAGGCCGAGAATGACACTGGGGGTGATCAACGGACCATTGGGCAACCAGTCGACGTCTTCAAGCTGCAGCTGCCGTTCTTTCCCTTGGCCAGCAACGCGGCTTTTCTCTTTCAGTGCAGTTAGAGGTCCGCATGCAAAGGAGTTGACGAGATCATAAAGCCAGTTGATTGTGTATGATCGGCGCCACTTCAATCTTTCTTTTTTCGTGACACGTTGTAAGTCAAGTGTGGGATCCCAGTATTTGATCTTGGCAAGCATCTTCTCGGTAGGCCTTCCGTTCCGTGTTTGTTGGTAATCTTCAATGAAATCAACGAGATCTCGGTAGGTGCCGAGCTGAATGTACTCTTTCAAGTCGATGAAGGTCGCCTTGAGCCCGTCTTGCTGACTCACTGGAGTCAGGTTTATTAAAGCTTTGTTGAATGCGCTCTGAGCGATCTCAAGATTGCTGCGTGTGATGGCCATCATGCAAGTCTCGTAGGAGTGTAACCCTGAGATCTCAGAGAATATGTCCGACTCTGTACTTCTGATCATTTCAATGGCGAGTTTTGACAATGCGCCAGCAATAGAACCATGCAATCCACAGTATGCAGCCTCATGCCAAATACCTTGGAGGTATTCTCTGAGGCTGACGCATTCCTTGGCGATTGCGCATGAAGCCATGAAATACTCGGCTTCCAGACCGCCGTCAGCTTCATCGATACTGTATTCCTCGATAGATACCACGTTCAAGGCGGCGCTGGGAGCTTTTATCTTCTTCTTGCCCTTGCCCCCTCTGCCCGATTTCTTTCGGGCTCGCCTTTGGGATCCAGTGGTAGAGGGTTCAGTAATAGAAGAGCCATCAGCGTCGCTTGAATTCTCGTCAGAGCTCTCTAAGCTTAAAGCAAGGATGTCCAAGGCTGAAAACTGGATGGCATCGGTGAGCTCCTCTGCAGTCATCTTGCTGGTAGCATGTCTGTTTTTCTCGCCTCCTGGCTGCTGGCTCTCCGTCCAAGCATCTCCACCAAGGGCAACGAAAGCCTTCTTGAGGTAGTGGATAAAAGTCTCGTGGATTTCGATATCTTTACCGAACTGAGGGTCTTCCTGGGTTACAACGCGTCGTAGGAAGGTCAGATGAGCCGTCCTTGCGTCGATGACGGACCTGAATAATCGGAATATGGCAGGCGGTATGTCCAAATGTTTCTTCACGAGCTTTGCCGTTGCTACGATTTTGTCGACAGAGATCTGGCCCGTTGTATTGAAAGCGATAGGCGGCTCCTAGGCGCCATCCTCTTTTCTACGCGTCTTGATGATGAAGTTGGATGCGCGGACCATCCAATAGGCGAGGTGTCTCGCGTCGCGCTTGTACACAGCGAACGCGTTTTGGGTAGCCATTATCGGTAGTGATGTGTGTGAGTGTGAGGATGGAGTCAGAACCAATGGCGGGATGTGTGATGCGGGCTTGCAGTGATGCTGTGCTCCTTGTCAGTGAACGGAAGATGCAGACGGCCTCCCCCTCCCACCCGACAGATACCTACGAGTTGTTTGGATCAGAACTGATGGCGAATCTGCTGATTTTTGATCCTTGGTTTCAAAAGTGGGATGTCGTCGATACGCTGGTGGGTGGTGGTGTTGTTGTTGCTGTCGTTCTTGTTCGAGGAGGGATACAGCCTGGCCAAGTACCAACGCAAAGGTTGCGGGACGAAACCTCATCGCCCAGGGTTGGTGTGCAATTGCGATAGCACTTCTTTCCCACCATTACCTGACGGAGTCTCGCTCTTGTCAACTCGGGCCTGGGAAGTTGCCAAGTGGATCTGGTCCCTTCTGCGGCCCGGAAGGCGCCTATGGTGAACCTCCGCCGTCGACCTCCAACCATAGTTTCAAAGAAGGTCGCCCATAGGTCTGTTTTGGGCGGGCTTAAATCTTCTCTACGCTACCTGCCAATACTTTTCGGTGCGTACCTTAGGCAAAGAAAGCCTTTGGGAAAGCACTGCCCATCGATTCTCGTCCGTCAATTATCGAACACGAAGAGCAGGGAGGTACTGAGGCAAGAACTCGAAAAGTCTCTTACCTGCTCATCGGGTCGCCTAGTGGAAAAGTAGGAAGGCAGTGATACGTAGTTTAGAGGAAAGATGCCTTTAAATTGACTAAGTCGCAGGTTCCCTACGAAGAAATGAAGACTCCTGGGCGTCCAGCGTCTTCAGTGCCGCCTTGAACTGATAGCTCTACCTACCTTGATCCAGGCTACGTGCTATCCCCATGATGTAAGAAGGTTGTCTAGTCAAAGTCCATTTGCTTCTATAGACGTGGATGCACCGCAGAGATTACTTGCTTGGCTTTCTCACTCAATCAACTCGTTCAAATATATATTGTTACGAAACCTGACCAGTAATTATAGACTGAGCTGTCTACTGCGGACTTTTTTATATTACCTCTATATTTATTAAAATATAGCGGTTTCTTTGCTTAGGTACTTTAAGATGGTATAAGCTCATTTTTACTGCCTTCAATGCCAATTACTGCGTGCCATAACTTGTGACATAGAATGATGAAACGGATGCCGATGATGCGAGTTATATGTCCCGAAAACTAGAACGCTATGCGCCAGATGAAGAATGCACCTTTGCGTCTCCCGATGCTGAGTCTCTATTGCCATTTGCCTCTTCACAGTGGGTTTGGAAATCTAATGAACTTTCCGTTTCCCAAGTCTCCAATTGTGGCCTTCGATTTCCGGGGCCACTTCATTTGTGACACAGTCCAAAGTTCGCCTATCTCGTTCATCTGACCTTAGCGTCCCGTATTTACTGTTGCATCATCACTTGCTCGGGATACAAGCTTTGAACGATAGTCCAGCACCAACGCGTAGAACTGTCTTCGTCCTTGAGACCCCGAAGCCAGCAAATACCGTGCTGGATCGTCATGTTTGCTGCCGCCTCGAAACCCGGGTCGCAACGGCTCTGTCGGATGTGGAAGAGAGTGTCATGTGTGACGGATAGGTGTAAGAAGATGAGTACACCGAGGATATTCTGCGACCAGAAGTAGAGGCAAGGAATCATGCGTTTATGCTGAGCAGCTGGCGGAAGGATTATGGGCCAGAGGAGGCAAGCTTGTAAAAATCTCTGGGTAGAAGTGCAGTCGATCTCGGTCAAGTCCTCTACTCGTGTATGTAGAGCTTTGTAGACGAAAGGACGAAACAGCATGTACTCGAGATGGTAGTATCGGGACCGTAGGAGGGCATCAAGCACATCGTTCGAGTTGGTGTAAATTGTATCATGGAGGTACCCTAACATGGGTGTGGACTGCAGCCCCTCCATCGCGGCGTCGGCGGTATACAAGGTCGGCTGCGCGTAAAAGTGCTGGTCAGGAACCTGAGGCTCAAGTACCTGGAAGGATGCTTGGTATGCGTCCAACTGTTGCCTCCTGTCCCATTGCAAGACGTTAGGCAAAGAGCTGTGCCACTGGTCGAGCTGCGACTCCAAGTCGTCGACTAGATGTCGGAGAGAGTCGGCCAGATCAGGCAGACCCGACATTGGTATCGAAATGGAACCTCCAAGAACTGGTGCATGGGCATAGTGTCAGTGGGGGTCAGAATATTGGGGTTTTACCTCCGATGAGGCACACAGAGAGGTCGGCTCGCCGCGCTTGCGCGGGATCCATACCCTAGGCGTACATCAATGGCAGAAGCAGGTGGCATGTATCAAAAAACGAAGCCAAACGCATTTGAAGACACCAGTCAAGGCGTTCATGTGCACCGGCCAGGCTTGAGGGGAAGTGGAAATGGAAATACGACCGGAAATGGAGAAAGAGAGAGAGAGAGAGAGAGTCCATAGACGAGAGGGGGCGGCAACTCACTTCTTCTCAGACTGCTGTGAATCTTGAAGGCCAAGTTTCGCAAAGAAATCTGGTGTAGGAATATCTCACCACAATTCGACCTGCTGTCGTTCTGAATGTTCTGCCTCAGAGTCGCATCACTAGTTTGGGCATAGGCCGAGAATGCCGAGAATGTTGGCAACTGCATGCTCCCCTCGAGCTTTTCGAGGCCGGTTAAGGGAAGTTCAAGTTCCAAATGAAGACCGCTGCAGCAAAGCACTGGATGTTAGATGATGGGTTGAAAAGCATAGGTACCCTGTCATTGCTGAAGGTATACAAGAAAGCAATAAACAAGGTGCAAATAGACCTCCCTTGCCTGTCCAAGGTACGCAGCTGAAGCTGCCTTGACCAGAATCCATGGACAGAACAGAAAAGGGCTGGGATTGAGGGCATGATGGGGCCTGGGAAGGAGGCGTGGGTTGGTGTTCTTAGGATGGACTGTAAATCTGCGGTGTACGTACGTTTCCATGATGGAGCAATACCAAAAAGCGCGGCGGATCTGATCGCCGCGCACTGAGCGAAGCTCGGCAGAGTTGCTGCAAACGTTCGTCAGCCCATTTTCGGGTCAGCAACCATTTGAAGTCTCAAACAGCCCCAGCTGTAGACCGACCACCACCACTGGCGCCTCTACTTACCTGGTAATCAGCGCGCGGCAAGCAAGGGACGCCGATATGGTCATTCTCCAGAACTCCTACGCGCGATTTTTGTTCAGCCAAATCATTCAGAAATTTTTCCTTTCAGGTTCACTCACCACATGCCGAGAACAGCACTCATAGTATAGCCTGTCGTCGGCCAAGCCAATACCGGATTAGTCAAACTTTCGCATCTTACGGTAGGTCCGCCCGTCGAGGCGCGGCCCGGGCGGCCGGCTCCGGCTCCGCAAGCCAGTCCGTTCAGGGAAACTCACCCCGCCAAGATGTACATCTGGATATTCTCCAAAGCACACTCTGTCATGGAGAACCCTAAACGTCGTCTTGCTTCGTTGAAGAACACAAGACCTGGTGGTCGAAATTCTAACTCTTTTGTTGGCCTGACAGGTTCACTGACATCATGGTCCCCGAACGCCGGAAAGACCCCTCCCGATCCTCCTACGAGAGCCACCTCGGCAAGGGCCAGAACCAGGCACACCAATGTAGATGCCGCATTCTCCTCAAACTGACTGCGGAAAACGTCCTGTAGTGTTTTCTCCATGAAATATCGACGGTCTAGAACAGGGTGAATCCGATTGAAGGTATCGAAATACGTCGTGGCGCGATCTTCAAGCAAGGCGTAGCTCAAACCCGCCAGCTGTAGCGTTGATCCGTCTATCGCAATGCCCAGCGACATACGTTCATGTATGCTCGCCGTTTCCAATCCCCCTAGAGAAAGACGCTGGTCTCGTCCTTGCAGATGGAACAATTCGGACGGAAAATCGGGTTCCTGGAATGCGGATTGAAGGTTTGGTATTTTGGGTTGGGCGTCTTCTAGCATCTGTCGCACTGCAGGCCATGCCATCATCTTAGTGACTGCAGAAACATATCGGTATGGCTTCTGCTGCAGAGGTATCGAGGTAGGTAGGCCTTGAGTTCTCAAAGTGCTTGTCGACGAAGCGTCATCGCTACTTTCCTCGGAATGTGAAGAAGGCGGGACGCTGATCCGCATATGCTGGAGCTGGGCAACTAGTTGCGGTAGAAGACTGGTGTTGTCGTTGATGTTGTTCACGAGTTCGAGTAGTTCAACCAAGCTTTTGTCTTTTCTATGGCTGGTTAGCATGTCGAGACTGAACTGACAGCGGTGCTCCAGGAAGTGATCATGGGCTCGATCCAACCCGAGGGAGGCGAGCAAAATGATAGCACAGGTTGGTCATCCATCCAGGAGTCGGCGCCAGGAACGCTGACTTACTTGGTCGGTAGAGGATCATCGTAGACGCATTCAGTTCCCTTCTTTTCGCAAAAGCCACACGGCTTGCCTTCGTCGCATTTCTGCTTCCTACCACGACAGGCGGTGCATGCCTATACAAATGTCAGACTAAGTCTAGGCCCAGTGCCGGATCATGACCGAAAGAAAGAGGGAGAGGGTAATGGCAATGGCAAGTTCACGCGGTTCGGGGCAACAGCATTTCGCGCTGCCATCATCCACCACTCGCAACTGATCCAAAGCCCCCACGTTGGTGATAGACGGGAAGACAACGCCAGGCACGAGATGGCGAAAAGAAGGACGAAGGGTAGGGCCAAACTTACTACGGAGGCGATGGAGCCACGATCCTTCTTTGAAGGCATTCGGCTGGAGCCCGAATCTGTTGAGCTCGAAGCCACAGAGTTAGAATCGAAGTTCATCGTTCACCTAATAGTGAAGGGGTTCGGGAGGGTGGTCGAATCCGGGGGGGTTCGGGTCATTCAGTGAGATTTTGTAGTTGATGTTGAGGCGAAAGGGTGGCATGCTAGGCTAGGCAAGGCGACAGGAAAGACGGAAAAGTCGAGACCTGCGGGACAAGAGGTCCAGCTCAGGCAGATGGTCTGGGGTCGTTGAGTCTGCAGAACCCTAGTGGCGATGAGGGGGCGGCGGCCAGGACAATGACCCAGGGCGACACTCGACCGGGCGCAGCATCCGCGAGCTGCTGGGGCAAAAGATGCAAGTTGATATTGGACGTTGGAGTCGAGAGGTGGTCGAGGTAGCTGCCAGTGTCCTTGGCGAGACTCAGTCGAGCCCCGAGGAGGTTGTCGACCAGTTGAACAAGGTGCAGAAACCTTGTTCAACATGGGAGATGGGAGGAGACGTGGAACTGGTTCCCGTCTTTGTAACCAAAAGAAACGGCACGGCAGGCGGGGTGGGATATGGGTCTTGGTCACCGGGAGTACATGCCGTGCACCAATTATCTTCACCCTCTGTCTTCTCTTTTCTCTGAGTGTCTCTGTTTCTCTCTCTCTCTCTCTTTCTCTTTTCCTCTCTCCTTTTTTTTCTCCCTTTTTTTTCTTTTCTATTGGATATCGATTTTGTCTGAGAGCAGTGTGCGGCACCGGCGGTGCGGGCGGACTTAAAGACTACACTGGGGGACGACAATGCCGATGGATGTTGTTTGTTGACTGCTGGACACCACCGGTAGAAACTAAGCGGAATGTGCGGTACATGGCCTTTCCGAAGTTGTGTGGAAACAGAAGGCTGGTGAAGAGGCGGCGAGAGAAGGGAAAATTTTTTTGTTTACCGTCGGAGGGGCGCCCGACTCCCCGTCACGGCGTCCTTCGAAGAACAGTAACGCACCAAACACAGGAGCTGGAAGGAAGGGCTTAAGACGAAAATGGCAGCATCAACGCTGAAGCCACAGATACATGCGACGATAGCAGTGCAGGAGGTAGAAGCTCGCAAATAGCGTCAGTTATGGCTGCCCGCTTGCTTAAGCGCCCTCGGTATGAGGCGGTGGCAGAGCAGGCTCGTCCTGGACACGATCCCTACACATGATGCACAGTTCTGTTGTGGCTAGAAGAGAACAAGGAGTGCAAGGGGACGCAGACGCGGCCCAGAAGTGTTAAAGTGATGTTCTACAAGCAGGACCAGATCATGAAGCGGAGCCATAAGACAAAGCGTCTGGTATGTTGATAAGTTGTTACCCCCCGTTCGATGTGTTCGGGGGGGCCCTTGCGGCCATATTACATGCAGAACTGACCGTTCGAGGCCGCAGGGAATCGCACGCTAGCATCAGCCAGGTTGGAACGACAGACTTGGCTCAAAATAAGTTTCACTGCTGCTGAGGCACCCAAACCCGAATCCAGGCAAGGCGAACACGCTTGTCGGTGGTCACCGGCGCGGCGGCAACGGCAACGGCATCAACGGCAGCAACAATAGTGTGCCAACGACAGCGCCGGCGCGGATGGGCTGGCTGTGTTGAAGTGAAATGCATAATGCGATGTGTGCAATACGGTGCGATGGGTTGCGCCGCGCCCAGGCCTCTGAGGGGAGAGTCACTGGGTACCGTCCTCAACCCAGCCAGCCTGGGCTTCCAGAACAAAACGAGACATTAGCTAACATGGGTCTCGAGCTAGTCGACTAGGTCCATTAGTAAGGTAAGTGAGGTATTGGGGAGACAAAGTATGGATACATTGGTTTTGCCCAGGGCGACCACTCCATCTCCTCACCTCACGTAACCTCTGCCTTTTCTAGTATGTCGGGAATCAGCGGCAGTGTGTGTGTGTGTGTGAGTGAGAGAGAGAGAGAGAGAGAGAGAGAGAGACAGTCCGGTCGTCTGCACTGTAGGTAGGCGATTTACCTAGGTCCAGATCCGCCATGGCAAGGGTATGGAGGAGCAAGACACAGACTGTCACCAAGACCCAATTTCCTTCGGCCGCTTCCCAAGTCAGACGGACCGGTCGGCCTCGCTCGATGAAATTTGCTGGCGTGGATGGGCGTATGCCGTGTCCTAATTCAGGTTGCAGGAAGGTGGGAGGTAAAAGGTAAGGTTGTCGTCTGTCACTAGTACAAAACCCGCTTTATCCTGGCGTTGAGCAGCATCCATTTGGTCGGAGCCGATCCGGGACCCTGCAACAGAAACAGGATAGCCCCTCCGAAGTAGCGAGGTGGCCAATGCGTGCGTATGAATCTTCCCGCCTGTGGGCTAGTCGCTCATCCTTTCATTCTTGGGAGCGATGTGCAGCGTTTGATAGACAGATTTGCAAGGGCAACTTGTGACCATTTGACCATATCTTGAGGCCGAGCCTGTGAAATAAGCTCACTGGAGCTGGGTACCGGGGGAATGCATCGGCGTAAGATACATCCCAGTGTGTTTGAGTCAGTACCGGGATAGACCCTTGATAGGAGAGAAAGAGGAGGAGGACATCTGTAAGAAGTTGTTCAGTAAGTAGATGTACTGAAGACCGAGAGAGAAGAGGGGGCAAAAAAAAAAAAAAAGAATGAAGGTGTGAGTAAGGACGGGAGCCGTTTGGACGGGATTGGGAGAAGCGATTTGTTCCCCGCCAACTTGCTGCCCCTCTTTCGCCTGGCCCTAGAGACACCGATCACCCTCCTGGCCCGATACCATCCTTTCTGATTGCAGTTACC